ACAAACAAATCTACTGGAAGAAGTGCAGTCGGAGTGCTCCTTGGAAGCGAGAATGGCCAGACTTTGTCTCACCTCCTTTGATCATGTGGTGAAAAGAGATCATTCCCTGGAGAAGGATATCATGTTTGTTTAAAGTAGCGGGTCAGAGAGCTCTGGTAGCATAGTGCCTAAAGCACTTGACTGCTAACCAGAAGGCTGGTGGTTCAAACCCACCAGCCACTCCTCAGAAGGAAGGCTGGGCAATCTATTTCCATAGCGATACTGCCTTGGAAACCCAAGGAGGGGTTGCTATAAGTTGGGGCTGACTTGACTGCATAAAACAACAACAACAACAACAGTGGGTCAGTGAAGAAGGGGAAGACCCCCAACGGGATGTATTAACACAGTGGCTGCAACGATGAGCCCAGGCATAGCAAGGATTGTGAGGATGGCACGTGATTGGACAGTGTTTCAATCTGTAGTGCACGTAGGGTCGGTGAGTTGGAGTTGATGCGACGGTACCTAACCATAGCATATGAGAGTGAGAGCTGGACAGTGAACAAAGAAGGACTACTGCAGAAGAATTGATGCATTTGAAGTGTGTTGGTGTGGAATATTGAATGTACCATGGAGTACTGGAAGAACAAACAAATCTATCTTGGAAGAAGTACAGCTGGAATGCTCCTTAGAAGTGAGAATGGTCAGACTTCGTCTCTCATACTTTAGTCATGTTGTCAAAGGGGACCCATCTCCCCAGAAGGTTATCCTGCTTGGTAAAGTAGCAGGTCAGCTAAAAAGGGAAGGCTCTCAATGAAACAGACATGGTGGCTACAGCAATGGGTTCAAGTATAGCAATGATTGTGAGAATGGCGCAGGATCAGGCAGCGTTTTGTTTTGTTGTACATAGGATCACTATGAGTCAGAACCAACTTGATGACACCTAACAACAATGGTCAACTGTTTGGGCGGTAGAGTAAGCAAAAAAAGACAGTGTCTCTTTAAGGTACAGAAGTTGTCTCTGAATTTAAGCTCCATATATCTATGTTTTTGATAAGACTGTAAGCAATACCTAACTTGAAGCCTAAATACCAGTTAAATACTTGGGATTTTTCTTCTTCATTTTATTTTCCCCCTAAGAAATAATTTGTTTTAGGCAACTCTTTTGTAATATGAAGGAATGAGTAAAAGAAGGAATGAAGGAACGATGTAGCAAAAGCCTCTTTTAAAGGTAGAACTTAGAAGGTAAATGAGGGAGAATAAAAATTAGGGAAGGAATAAAAAGGTATGAAATAATTTTTCTTTGGATTCACATCCTATTTTAGTTACTCAGTATCTTAACCATTTTGCTTTTCTCAGGGAATCTGAAGGATTCACTGGGGTTCATCAGTAATTATTGATGCTACAGTTTGAAAACTTGCTGTAATGTATTTATTTGTCACTTAAATATTTCTTAAAGATTTTCCAGTTACTCTTTAGTTTCCAGAAGGAGCTCTGGTGGCATGGTGGGTGAGGCCTTTGGCTGCTAAGCCCAAAAGGAGTGCTGGTGTCACAGTGCCTGAGGCATTTGACTGCTACCAGAAGGTTAGGCTCAAACCCAACAGCCACTCCACAATAGGAAGATGGGGCATTTTACTTCTGTAAAGACTTACTATCTTGGAAACCCAGTGGGGGTTGCTGTGAGTTGGAATCAACTCAATGGCAATGGGTTTGGTTTTTTTGGTATATAGTTACCAAAAACTACAGCTTTTAGCTTTCAAGTTTTAATAGCAAAGTACATTATTTTGGTAGGGTTGCTATAAAGTCATATTAAATAAGAGCAAGAAAGGTCTTTAGAGTAATTTCTACCTTTCTGGAAGTTTGAAGTGAATCTTTGTATTTGCTTGTTCACCAGACCATTTAAGCTAACTAACTCATTCCCAGATCAGAGTCCATGCTATTAAATGCTGAGATAGGTACTAATTTATTTTTTTAAAAATCAATTTTGATCATTTTTTTGTGAGCACATCTTTTAGAGATATCTTAAATTATCTCTCCTGTGGATAAAAATTAGTCTCTGTAAAAGTAAGTAAATATTTATCTTTCCTGCTAACTATGGAATAACATGACCGTTTTAATGTTTTTGTGCTGTGTGCCATAAACTAAAGTGTATATTTTGTTATTTACCTAGCTTTTAGGGAGAGCAAATACCATTTACTTGTGGGATAAATACATAGAAAGCTTATATTGCAGTTTTTTAAAGTGATAAACTACTGCTAACTGAAGTTTACTTGATGAACCATTTTCTGTAAATAATTAGTATGTTATTATCCACTGATACTTTGACAGCTGTTTCAATTTTTCTTTAAATATTAGGTCATGAGTGTTATTGAACTCCGTCATGATATTAGATCAGGATAAGATCTAACAAATGTGTTTGTACGTTATAAAAGTAATAACTAGCAGTAATTTTGAGAGGTAGTACTAAAAAAAAGAAAAAGAAAACGAAATCCACTGCCATTGAGTCAATCTCGACTCTTAGTGATCCTGTAGGACAAAGTAGAACTGCTTCATAGAGTTTCCAAGGCTGTAAATTTTTACCGAAGTAGACTGCTTCATCGTTCTCCCATGGCGGGGCTGGGGGTTTAAACTGCCAACCTTTAGGTTAGCAGCCAAATGCTTTAACCACTCCACCACCAGAGTCCCTTGAGAGCCCGTATAGTGTGGTGGTAAATAGTTTGGATTCTGGATTCAGAGAAACAATTTCTAAAAGGATGTCTACCACTGTGCAATTTTCTTAACTCCTCTGAGCCTCTGTTACTCACATGAAATGGAGATAAAGTTATTTATAAAACAAGTAATAAATTTAATACACTTTCACTGTGTACCAGGAATCATGCTATATTTTGAATGTAATAGTACCTTTCTGTCATAAGATCACTGAAGGGATTAAATTATAATGTGTGTAAAATACTTAGTATTTAAACCATAAGTGATTGATAAATTTTAGGTTATTCTTAAAAAGATCCCAAATATGTACTTTATAGTTGTCTAAGAGCAAAAACTAGTTTCAGGATATAATTATAAATCAGGATTAATTTTTTATGAAACAGAATTGGTATGAAATGCATATATTTTTAGATTGACTTTAAAAATGAAAAGTTGATCTAACAGTTTGGAAAACAAGTGTAAATGATATTAATGCCAATATTAATGTTTCTTTTAAGAGAAATTTGGATGTATAACTGTACATATTCTGTGAATCAACTCTGTATACTATTGTTTTTAAGATAGGAATAAACCTAATACTAGGTTGGAAAATATTAAGTACATATAGTCTTAAAGAAATAGGGAACTTTGATAAAATCTTTGAGTGAGGAAATATTTAGACATCTAGAAAAGCTCCTTTTAATAGTATGAAAGTTCAGTTGTAAACAGAATTGTCAGTTTTTTGTTTTTTCTACAAATTTTGATTTTTCTATGAAAGATGCCATACTTATGGCTAGTCCAGAATTAACTGTATTAAATTCTAAATTTAAGAAAATGAGTGTTTGTTCCCTCCCTCCATCTCTCTCATATTATTCTTTCTTGAAATGCAGGTAGAATCCTTTCACAGTATATAAATAGATGTATAGATATTTAAAACCTGTGAATACTGGAACCTGTGTAAGACAGAAACCTGTGAGAGAAGAAAAACTCTGCTAATGATGATAGGAAAGTGGTAAAACTGCACTCTGTCAGAGATGGAAAACTTGTGAGACCAGGAAAAAAGCAGTTGGTTGTTTTGACTCTCACAGGTTTCACTGTGTATGTGTGTGTATAGATATGTTTTTTCCCTCCCATTTTAATAAATATTCCTTATAATGTCAGTATGATACTTATGTTCAGAGTAATGAAACGATTCAGGCCTGGAATGGAACTCACCTCTGTGGCTTAACTTTCAGACAGTGATAGGCCTGTAAGGTAAACAGTAACACCTGAGAGGTAAGCGCTTCTTAGAACAATCAACTATTTGAGATCAAAAGGGCAGCATTGCCCAGGAATAAAACTCAGAAGACAGGAAGGAATAGGAAAGAAGAACAAATGGAAACAGTAAACACAGGGAGGAAGTGGGAAAGGTGTTGTTACGTTGTGGGAATCAGTGTCACAAAACAAAATGTGTATAAATTGGTGAATGGAAAACCAATTTCCTCTGTAAATTTTTACCGAAATCTCAATAAAAAGTTAACAAAGGAACAAATAGAACTTTCCATTTCAGAGCTTTAAAACAGAAAGTTTAATAGGTTCATTACAGTTTACTTTGAAACCTTTTCAACGGATAGCTAGAAATTTCTTGTTTAAAATTTTGGTTAATCATAGCATTTCATTGTTATACTAGTTTAGTTAATTAAGAACTTAGTATTTTATGGTTACTCTTATGTTCTGACCATCTTTATGATTTGTGGAATTTTATCTGTATATGTGAACCTAGATCACTTAAGAGATAATAAATACTACAGCTAACATCAACTGAGTACTAGCTCTCTGCCAGGTGGTGTTCCGACCCTTATAGCAACACTGTTGTTGTTGTTGTTATGTGCCGTCGAGTCGGCCCCGACTCATAGCGACCCCTCCTTGGGTTTCTGAGGCAGTATCACTACGGAAGTAGGATTGCCCAACCTTCCTTCTGAGGAGTGGCTGGTGGGTTTGAACTGCCAGCCTTCTGGTGAGCAGTCAAGTGCCTTAGGCACTATGCTACCAGAGCTCCCAGGATTCAGCATATGTGTTTTTAATCTTCACTACTTTCCAATACTCAATAGTCTCTTCCATATTTTACAATTAGGTTAACTATTTGAATAATATAAATATAGTCATCATATATGAAAAAAAATGTGGTTGATAATGAGTGATTTTGGTGGTACAAATTTGATTTTGGTGAAGATAGTCTTGATGAGTAGAGTAGCTTAAGTTTTGTCTGGTTCTGTGATTATCTAAAAATGGATTTAGTCAAAATTTATTAGAATGTTCACATAAGGATTAACTTTATCTTCTTTCTCATCCTTTAGTAAAATAAAACAGGGTCTGTTACCCAGCTTGGAAGACTTGCTGTTCTATACGATTGCAGAGGGACAAGAGAAAATACCTGTTCATAAATTTATTACAGTAAGTTTTTATAGTTTTTTAACATTTTAAAAAATCAGTAATACTGAATAATACAGTATCATTCAAATGTAGTGTTAAAGGTCTTCTGGCATGTAGACTCTGACTGACACTGTTTCTCTCATGTTTTCAAATTTTTATCATGCTCATTTCAAGGTAATCTGTGAAAGAAAATGAAAGAAACAATGAGAAACTTGTCCAGAAATTGGGTAATAGTGACACTAAAGTAGCATATAAGTATTCAAGTCTTGGGTAGAAGTTTTTATATACAGGAATGAAAACTTATAGTTGGAATAAGCATATACATTATTTGCACTATATATTTACAAACTCTTATTTTTTCAAAAACAGGCACTCAAATCTACAGGATTGCGAACGTCTGATCCCAGGTTGAAAGAGTGTATGGATATGTTAAGATTAACTCTTCAAACAACATCAGATGGTGTCATGCTAGACAAAGATCTTTTTAAAAAGTAAAAATTTCTGCCAAACCTCTAATGGTGATTTGCTTTGCTCTGTGATGGTTTTACTTTTAAAACAAAATTGCATCTTTGAAGTCTAATGCCTCCTGTGTAACTGGGGAAAAAAAGAGATTTATAAACAACTTGGTGCTCATTGAAGTTTTACAGTATACTGGCGCTAAGAGTACACATTCTTTAAAATCTACTTGTTTTGGTTACCTAGTGCCGCTCTGACAGGAATGTACCACAAATAGGATGGCTTAAATAAACAGGAGTTTATTCTTACAATTTGGAGGCTTTAAGTCCAAGTTCATAGTGCCAGGCTCTAGGGGCTGGGTGAAAGTCCCTCAACCTAGGGGTCCAGCTCTGCCTTCTGCTCCTGGCCCACTGGAGCTAGAGGCATTTCTTCACTCAGACAGCTTCTGGCTGGCTGCTGAGACTGAGAAACCCCAAGGTTGACAAGTGAAAAGGCATAGTTCCAGTGTTACCAATCCACACGGCAGGCCATTAATGTCCATTGTAAGTCCCAAGGTTGGCAGAATGGAGCAGGCTGCTGAGCAACGACACAGCTACATGCAGGCTCCAAGCATGCCAAAGGCTAGAGACCATTCCCAATGCTCCTGCTTATATACGGGAAGCAGACCACATACCCAAAGACACACATACTCATTGCTCACAGTAGATTCCACCATGGGGTTGATTACCAGTCTCGTCATGGGGAATACTACATCCAGCTGCCCAGCCGCTCAACCAGGCCTAGCAAAGTTGACATTTAGCCACAGATGTTTCCAGTTTACAGTACCTGGGAGCTTGCTTTCACTCTGAATAGAGCACATCCTTTGCCTGTCATTGCTTATGTTGATCCTCAGTTCATCTGCATGCCTTGCAGGCTTTCTCAGCATGGTCTCTAGTTCTTTCCCATAAGGTCATTTAGATGGCTTCCTAAAGTGAGAAGGCTTCAGACAGCCCTGTGTTCCTCAAAATTTCCTATCTGTGTTGTCTGCTTCTCTCCTGTCTCCAGATATATCAGTACATAGGTTTTTGCCTATTTTCTTTACCCTCAAAACAATTAAAAACTAAAAAAGAACCTTTGAGATTAATGTCTTGATTTAGTTGAATGAGAATATTTTGACATTGCTGTATTTGCATTTCTGTTGATTACTGATCTTTGTTAATGTGTTCCTGTTAGTTCAATTTGATTACCTGATGATTAAAAGGACATGATGTCTGTTATAGATCCCAGAGTTAAATGGTATTTTAAACTACTAATAGTTAAATGAAACTAGTTTAAAACTGTAAACACTACTATAGGATATTGACTTTTTCCAGACCATAGCCCTTGGTTGAGGTGGTCCCAAAGAAGTTTCTTATCTACCTTGAAAGTTTGTGTTTTTTGTGGTAGTGGTGGGGTTGGGGGGTGGGGAGGGGTTGGGGTTGTTTGATAATTTGTTATACATATCTCCTGGAAATATCCTGCAGTATTAAGTCATCTGAAGATTGAAGTATTAACTAATGTCTATCGATGTTTCCTGGCATGCTGTCATGCTGTGAAGCACTGTGTACAGTTTTGGATTCTTACCTTGCATCTTGAGGTTTTTGGTTCTGTTAACTCAACTGCCCTTATTGTAGATTTCAGGTCTCTATGGGAATTGTTAGGAATTTTGAGACTCCAGAAACTATTTCTTTGTGTAGAGAAGGAAATAACTTCTAGAGTAAATAAGGGTTAGTGTATCCTAGAATGAAATTGCCAGAGAGATGGAAGGTAGATCTGATGAATAGATATGAGGAATTGCTTTGGAATTTGAGTAGAAGCACTATTGTAGACATTTTTAGCACTTTTTTAAAAAAAAATTTTGTGCTTTAGAAACCTGTTGCTGTGTTTACATATGAGATCAAAAATATTTACTCACTGTCTCTCCTAGATTTTATATTATTTATGAAGCAAGGAAATTCATTCATAAAATTTCCTACGTGTAATTATGTTCAAAAATAATAATCACTATTACTTTAAACATTTTTAAGAAATATTGATGATTATAATACAGGCAGTTCCCAGTTTGACAAATACTTAGTGGTGTATATGAGCAGGCAGTGGAAAGTGAGTCTTGTAGCTAAAATAATTTCTCTTCTCAACCCTAGAATGAGGTAATTCAGAACCTCTGACTCTTGAGTCACCTGTCAAGGTGATTACTTCAGAGAAGTTCCTTTCTCTTTTAAATATCAGAAGTTATCTAGGTAGTATTGTCAGAAAAAATAAAATCTCACCTCCATGTAGCTTGGGAGGAAAGAAACATTAAAATATGCCATTATTTTCCTATACAATAACTTAGAAAGGTGGGTTGGTTAGGTTGAGCTCAAAGTGTTAATATTATATCTAAAATATATTGTGAGTAATATATTTTGCCTTTGGGGCTAATCTGTGAAACAACTATTATATATGATTTTTTTTAAAAAAATGGGAAAATGAATTGTAAGCATTCTTTTTGGAGCATAATCTATTTGAAAGTTGGAGATTGCCTGTACCCATCTATATAGTCACTTGTTTTTAATGCTAGTAATTCTGAAGACTAATAGAAGTAGAAAATTTATGTTGAAAACTAATGTTTTCTATTTTTATGCTTTTTTGTAAGTTCCTTACATTTGTGTAGTGTTTGATTTTTCTAAATAATTTCATATCCATTATGTTTTACTAATGAGAAAATATAAGAAACATTTTGTGAAAGTTACATGCTTTAGAATTGTCAGTCATAAGCACTTAATATACTTAAGAAGGAAAGAAAATTATTACTATTCTCAGTTTATAGATAGGAAAATGAAGCAAAGCACAGATAAAGTTATAACTTACTGAAAGACATAAGAGCCTCCTCCTGAGAGTTCTTTTTTTTTTCCCCCCTCTAATTTTCTAGTTAGTATCATGACCCCTGTATTAAAATAACTTCCAAGAAAAACGTTACTATTTAGATCACTCCTCAGTTTAGAGCTTAAAACTCTTGAGTGATAAGGCTGTTTTTGTCAGCCCACAGTAACTCATCAGGTAAGACTGGGTTGCCATGAGTTTTACCATCACCTTTTGAAAGAACTAAAAAAAGATCCAGAGCTTCCTTGGCTGTACAATATTGTTAACTATAAACCCTCTTTTAAAAAGTGCTGATTAATTTTAAATAGAGTTAGTAGTGGTTAATAATTTAAATTTACTTGGTGTTTCTCTTTTTTAACTTCTTTGAAAATGAGGAAAATGGATTTTATATAGATATAAATAATGATTTAAGATCAGGAATTATTGTCTTGGTATTTCTCCTCAGAAATGTGTTTTAGTATATATTTTTTGCAACTCCGATAAGTGTAAGTTGAATTTTGATAGCTATGTGAAAATTGTCATATTAAATATATAAAGCAGTGGCAAAACTTAATATTTTTCAGATTAACTTAAAACACTACCAGAAAATAATTGACCAGCTTTCTGAAAGGTCGATTATTTATGTTTACAGATTAATTATGGAAATTTGGACTAATTTTTTTCATGTTGAAATAGGGAGACATCCTTATCACTGGATGTTAATCTTTTTTTATTAGGAATTTTTAAAATCAGCGTGCCTATTTTGTTATTCAAATGAATATACTAAATTTTTATTGATAGTTAAAATGTGGGAGCTCTGGTAGTGTAGTGCCTAAGGCACTTGACTGCTAACCAGAAGGCTGGCGGTTCAAACCCACCAGCCACTCCTTCGAAAGAAGTTGGGGCAATCTACTTCCATAGTGACACTGCCTCGGAAACCCAAGGAGGGGTCGCTATAAGTCGGGTCCGACTCGATGGCACATAACAACAGCAACAACAGTTAAAATGTAGAATCTGTTTTTAAATTTTTATTTGATGTTTCCTGTAGAGCAACTTGAATTATAATAGTGACATTTAGGAAAAAATTACAGATTAAAAAAGAAATTCCAAAAGTGTGTTTTTGTTTGTTTTTCCATTTATGATTAGTGCAAGTTTTACTTACCTAAATTTCTTATCTGTAGAGTGGGAAAATCATCCTTCTCAAAGTGTTGATGTTTTGAGGATTAAACAGGGTGAATATTACTTGAAATTTAGTGTCTGTACCTTAAAAAATGCCATTTTATTTCCCTCTTCCCTAAAGAAGCTGCTGATATATACAGTATCACATCACTTACCTGTGGGGAATCTAGTTACCATATATGAAAACCTTCCCATGGTTTACTGGTCCAGCTTTTAAGACTTCAACTGTGAACATTTGGTTTTTGTCTTTGAAGGGCTTAGCTTTGAGATTTATTATTTGCTGATATTATGGTTGGATCCCCATGTCATAGCAGATCATCCTTTATCAGTTGAGTGTTCTAGATAGTTACTGAGACTCTTGATAAACTCAGATCATACGATTGTTGTAACCAATTTATAGAACTCTTCTTTAAAGTTATATTAATACATTGATTTTTCTAGCTGGAATCTTTTTAGACCAAAGCAGAGTATTGATTCAAATCATTAGACTTCATGCCCTCCCATCTGCATTCTGTTGTGTTTTGTTTACTGTGTCCTCTAAAGAATTTTTAGCAGTGAAACATTTTTATTCCAGAATGTATTGCATATCTTACATTAAACTGAATAATATAATTTAATATTTTTGATGACTCAAGTAATATTATACTATTTTATAATGTTTTATATAAAGCTATACAGTATTACTTTTATAAGCATTTTAACAAATATAATTTCAGATAAATTAATCTGACTAAACTAAGTTGATTTTTTTTTCCTCCATTTTTAGTTTAGAAATGTAAGTTTTTCAGGAAAAATACATTAAAAATATAGAATGATTGGTTTGTATTTTTAAATACTAGTAGTATTATTTCTGAGGCTACTTAATTGAAAACTAAAGGTGCTCTCAACCATGACATATTGAAACCTAATTTTTGCTTACCAAATGTCATGCTGAATGCTTATCAGCCATGGTAGGCTAAGTAACTTGTTTCATATGGGCCTAATACTTAACCTGGTGGAATGCTTTGTCATTTTTAATCTTTGACATAACTTGTATGCACATTTTAATTTATGTCTTTAACTTCAACAGCTTATAAGAAGCTCATCAAAGGCTGCTGAGAGGAAAGAAAATAATGTGGAAGGAGTACTGTTTATAGAATTTAGTTATATAAAATAATGACTTACTGTTTAAATATAGGGTTATGTCTTCCTAATTAATACTGTTTCTTACTATCAAATATTAATATTTGAAGTATACCTAGTCTATTCATTTTTTTCCTCACATTTCACAGATGTGTTCAAAGCAACATTGTTTTATTGACACAAGCCTTTAGAAGAAAGTTTGTCATTCCTGATTTTATGTCTTTTACCTCACACATCGATGAGTTATTTGAAAGTGCTAAAAAGCAGTCTGGAGGAAAGGTAACTTTTGATGTACATATCTTCCTAACCCATGCACTTAATATGTTAAGCTCAGCTTGAGGTACTTAGAGTAAAATTAAGTATTTTTCTTGTGTTTTGCTCATTGAAAAATTTAAGTTAAATGAAGCCTAATTTAATGTTTTTGAAATATTTTCAATATTTGTTAATCTTGCGAAACGGAAATCTAATTTTTATGACTTCTTTTTTATTCAAATGACTGTGATGACTTTTAAAATTTTAATTAATTTATTGAAAATTTTTTCAGATCTGATATCCTTGAATGTTAAATGTTTCCATTAAAAAAAAAAAAAAAGCTCTTAAATGATACTAGGGAAGTATATCATTAATTTCCACATTTAATTTTTGTTTTAGCTTTGGGTACAATACTTAGCTTCAGTAACATATTATCTCTTGATAATTATTTTAGTGTGTATATTTATTACTTGTTTTTAGGCATTTGGTTTCTGTGCGAACCTGCCAGCACCCCTGCAAGACCTGATTGATTAAAGAAGTTTTTTACTCTTACCATTAAAGAAGAGAACAAAATCTGTCCAAATTCACGTTTCAGATTCTGCTTTTTAGGAAGAGAGAATGTGTTGGGAAAGCTAAAGGATAATGGAGGCTGAAAGAAGTCGCTTAGATCTCACCCATTCCTTAATTATGTATGCCCTTAGTTTTTGAGGGGCATTGATATAAATGATAGACGGCAGAGTTACTGAGTGTAAAATAGCTAGTTAATGGTAGAAGCCAAATGGAGATAAAAACAATTTTTGGTAGGAGAAAATATTATTTGCCTATTATCTGTTCTTTTTTTTCCCAATGTTTTGGATAGGTTGCAGATTATATTCCTCAACTGGCCAAGTTCAGTCCTGATTTGTGGGGTGTATCAGTTTGTACAGTAGATGGACAGAGGTAAGTTTAAGCCCCTAAAATCTAACTCTAAGCCTTAAATTTGCATACCAGTAAGAATGGGATAAAGAAGAGCATCACCTATAATGGAAATTAGTCCTAACATGACATAACTTCAAGAAGGTAAATGCATTTTAATTATTTTATTTTGATTTGGGTGAAGATTTACAGAGCAAATTCATTTTCCATAGAGCAGTTCACATATACATTGTCACATGTTACTGACCACAGGTAAATGCATTTTAATTTAATTTTTTTATAAAAACTCACCTGACACAGTAACTATATAAACTTAAAGTTTTATGAGGGATTTCATCATATCCATAGTTTTAGTCTTGCTGTTCAACTGTGTATTTAAATACCTGTAGTTAGGAGTTTGTTTAGGAAAAGCAGACTAGTTAGAACATGACATTATTCAGTAATGAAATAAAATTAGTTCCACTTCTCAGCTTACCATTGGTTACCTTTCCTGTTAGTGTCTTCATTATGCCCTTGATATGATTAGGATGATGTTTAGACAATGCAGCATAATGTGCTCTGTTGTCCATCTGTCATTTGCAGAGTAAAAGGTCTGATACTGTAAAACATGCAGAATTTCATGAAGTCAATGAAAATGATATTTGGGAAATGATCACATTGCAAGTATAGCCATTGACAAATGAGAATTTGACAGAGTTACAAAAAGGATAATAATGTGAGGGCACTTCAAAGATAATAAATTAATTTAAAAATCAAGAGAGCCCCTTGAAAAATTGATAAAAGTTGCAGAGTATTTTTTTAGGAGTTTTGTTGTTGGGTGCCATTGAGTCAGCTCCAACTCATTAGTGACCCTTTGTAAACAGGGAGACACTGCCGTGTCTGTCGATGCCATCCTCCCGGTCACTCCCATGTTGAATCCAATGGTTGCCGCACCTTTGTCAGTCCATCTCATTGAGAGTCAAAATAACACTTGTTGTGCTAGAAGTCAGACAGAAAGATTTATTTTCATGTTACATTTTGGGGTTTTTTTGGGGGGGAAGTATGCCCAAAGAATAGTCGATAATCTTTGTTTTTTAATCCATAATTTTAGGTTTTACTTTTCAAGATAACATCCTAATTAAGGCCTTTAACCCCCATCTATGAAATTTTGATCTCTTCATTCTAAGTGATCATTTTATTTTTTACTAGTAATGCTCCTGCATTATTTACAATAAAAAAAATAATGTAGCTTAGCTCATTCATTTTGAATATGAGGCCCTGATTTTGTGTAACATTGGCAAAGGTGAAACTAGCATATAGGTCTCTGAACTTCTAGTCTGTTACTCTTTCTGTTATGACAGACTTTCTTTTTTTTTTTTAATTGTGATTTGGGTGAAGATTTACAGAGCAAATTCACTTTCCATACAGCAGTTCACATATACTTTGTCTCATGACATTGACCACAGTTTACCACAATGCAACAGCTCCCCTCCCACTTCCTCCCCATAGTTACCTCTTCCTAGTGTCCATCCCTCCATACACTCCAGCCCCCTGAGCTGTCTCCCTGTGCATAAGCAGCCCTTCTTTCTCCCATGATTGTTCTCTCCAAGGCGTATCTACTTGAAGTAAATGTTTTACTCACATGCCAGTATTTTGTTTGGCTGGAAACCACAGGTGTGGGTTCAATTCCAGACCTGAAGGGCAGCTAGGGGCCATAGTCTCAGTGGTTCCACCAGGCTCTATCGGATCAGCAAACCTGGTCCCCACCTTTTTTTTTTTCTCCAAATGATTTTGAGTTTTGTTCCACATTGTTCTCCCTCTCTATCCAGGATCTCCTACATAGATCCCCTTCCAAGTGGATGACATGGTAGCTGGGCACCATCTAGTTCTTCTGGTCTCGTAGTTGTATAGGCTGCAGATCGGATAGTGTACCAGTTGCTAGGACTAATTGTGTATGACAGACTTTCATCATCATCTGAACTCGTAGTACAAAACATTCACTTGTGCAGAAGTATATGGTGGGTGCTAGGGAAGGACACAAAGTAATTAGAAGACAACAGTAGGCAGTGAGATTACTCTTTTTTGTACTAGGAGGAAATGGTTTCTTGTCATATAATACTTTCACATGGTTTTCCTGTTGAACACTGCCTATGTGTAGACATGATTCTTTTAGTTTTTTTTAGTGTTGTTGTTGTTGTTATTTGCCATTGAGTCAGCCTCGACTCATAGCGATCCCTCCTTGGGTTTCCGAGGCAGTATCACTACGGAAGTAGGATTGCCCAACCTTCCTTCCGAGGAGTGGCTGGTGGGTTTGAACCGCCAGCCTTCTGGTGAGCAGTCAAGTGCCTTAGGCACTATGCTACCAGAGCTCCCAGGTACTAGAACATAGATATTTTTAATTCCAAATATAATAAGATACCATTTTATAGAATGATTATCAAGTTGAAGTTATAGTCTTAATTAAATTATGTATAGATTTCATAGAAAAAGTATTATATGAATATATGCATATATAGGCATTTATATTCTATAATACACTTAAGAAGTGAGGTGGCCATGGATTCCTGTTTGTCTTAGGACACTCACTGTTAACCTCTTTACATCTCATAGTTTTTAACAGTTTCCAGTTTCACTTCAAAAGTATCCCAGTTTGGTCAATAAACATACATGGTCACCCACCTTAGAGGAATTAGCAAGTCGAAAATGTCCAGAAGCTTTTTGTAAAATACAGTATTCTCAGTTATATCATTAAACTATATATTATTGCTTGACTTAAATGTATATATTTGTTTATGCTTTTGCATACATTGTAGTTAGAACCATGAATTAAAAATATGTATTTTTTTTAATCATTCATTGTACTATGTTTATTATTCTTACAAAACCTTTTGGCAGAGTTTCTGTAATTGTTCCATAAACTTTTTTGATAAAGACTTTGTTCATTCATTTATTGGTGCAGGACTGGGCATCTTTTCATTCTGTTACACACTTGGTTACTGTGAGTTGCAGCCAACTCAAAGGCAGATAATGACAATGTTTATTTACTAATTCTTTCCATATTTGTCGATTGCTTATAAAATGTTAGACATTGGAGTACCTAGGTTACATTAGTGAATAAAGCTCAGATCCCTGCCCTGTGGAAATTATAGTGGAGTTGGTCAGAATTTTTTAATTCCCAACTCTGTTCTCTTCCTCATGTTACCTCCAAGTTTGATAATAGATAAGTCTTTCATTTTGTTGTCTTGTCTCTTACATGGTGATGATGACTACCAAATGTAATTTTGGTACTGGTTCTATCAGGTTAATAAAATTGGATGTTATTTCTTTTAATGGAATTGTGAATGGTGGCTCATAAGATGAGACATTTATAGGCAGGCTCTTAGACAATGGTACTGAATCTAAACTGACCTTCTTTCAGCTCTTCAGCTAATCATGGCTTAGCCATGTCTTAGGGTTGAGTGAAAAAATGCATGATTTCTGTTTCTAAGAGGGCTACTTTATTTTATATGATTGAATATGGGTGTAGCATATGAAATGAAAGAGAATATAGGGTATAGAATGAAAGAAGGGGGTACCTTCTTACACTTAAGAGGCAAATTTTCACAAGTTAATTATTGTTGCACCAAGTTAGAATCATTACTTCGTTACCTGAATGCTTTTAGGCTTTTTTTGTGTGTGTCATTGCTCTTAAATTTATTTCTTATACTTATTATTTAATATCGAAGTAAACTTTTTTGGTTGAACTGGGGGTAGCCTGTGTAAATTAGAATTAATGTGTAAAAACACCAGCTCTAATCATGCAGTTGCATATTTTTCTCAGAGATCTTAATTATTTTAAATCTACTTTTACATAGGCATTCTATCGGAGATACCAAAGTTCCCTTTTGTCTTCAGTCCTGTGTAAAACCTTTGAAGTATGCCATTGCTGTTAATGATCTTGGAACAGAGTATGTGCATCGATATGTTGGTAAAGAGCCGAGTGGATTGAGATTCAACAAACTATTTTTAAATGAGGATGGTAAGAATTACATAAGTTGGTTAGAGAAAGATTTTTCTCATTTTCTTATGTAAATCTAAGTATTTTTTCTTTTATTTTTGAAGAAAATTAGAAGATTTTCATTTGCTATTTGATTTCTGTGAAATCTAGGAAGACAATTTAATCACCTTCTTTTAAAAATTATTGTTTTAGGTATCTTGTCCCACTGGGAAGTAGACTGATGTGGAGAGCAGGGAGTAAGAGTTTCACTTTATAACCACCTATAGGTCTCTGGGTGGTCAAATGGTTTTAACTTGACTTCTAATGTAAAGGTTGGTGGTTTGAACCCACCTAACAGTATTGCAGAAAAAAGGCTTGGTACTGATTATACCTAGAAAACCTTGTGGAAAATAGAAATATCATATCACCTAGCAATCCCACTGTTGTTGTTGTTGTTGTTATGTGCCATCAAGTCGGACCCAACTCATAGCGATCCCTCCTTGGGTTTCCGAGGCAGTATCATTGCGGAAGTAGATTGCCCAACCTTGCTTCTGAGGAGTGGGTGGGTTTAAACTGTCAGCCTCCTGGTTAGCAGTCAAGTGCCTTAGGCACTATGCTACCAGAGCTCCTAGCAGTCCCACTACTAGGTACAAAATATGAGAAATCATATTCATTCCAGCACTATTCACAATAGCAAAAAAGATGGAAACAACCTAAAGGCCCATCAGCAGAGGAATGGATCCAATGACTATGGTGCACACACACAATGGAATACTACACAATGTTAAAGAACAATGATGAGTCTGCAAAACATCTCGCAACATGGATGAACTTAGGAGTACATTATGCTGATTGAAGTTAGCCAATCACAAAAGTATTGTATGAGACCACTATTATAAAAAGTCAAGAAAAGGGTTTCATCCAAGTGATATTCTTTGAATAGTTATCAGTGGTGGGTAGGGCAGGGAAGGTAAACCACTAACTAGAAGGCAGACAAATAGTAACTTGGGTGAAGAAAAAATAAACAGCAATCTGATAATAAAAACAGTGAAAAAAAAAAACAGAGGAGACATTTGACAACAAACGGTAGCATTACATTTAAAAAAAAAAAAAGTAAACAGGGCTTACACATACATGAAAAACATAGCAAGTGATTTAGGAAATCCGGAAAGATTTCAGCTCAGCATCAATGTCAGTTTATACTATTAAAAAACTGAATTTGTATTTAAAAAAAAAACAACCCTAAGGAGCAGTTTTAGGAGCTCTGGTAGCATAGTGCCTAAGGCACTTGACTACTCACCAGAAGGCTGACGGTTCAAACCCACCAGCCACTCCTCGGAAGGAAGGTTGGGCAGTCCTACTTCCGTAGTGATACTGTCTCGGAAACCCAAGGAGGGGTCACTATGAGTCGGGGCCGACTCGACAGCAAACAACAACAAGGAGCAGTTTTACTTCCAAGTACATGGTGTTGCCATGAATCAGGATTGACTCAGTGGCAGTGGGTTTGGGGTTTTATATGTGTGTGTTTGTGTGTATTATGGGGAATCTCACATTGTCTAGGATTTGCTTTAGAATAATTTAATGGAGGAAACCTGGGAGTGTAGTGCATAGTTGAGCTAGTAATTATTTTTTGCCTATTTTTGTCCTTAAGCATATTTAAGATTTGAAAGAATTGTCTGGCATTAAAAAGTAGAGTAACAGATACTACTTTACAAGAATCTGAAAACATAGAGGAGGACAAAAGTAGTTAGAACTTTTGATTTTATACGTGTTTTAAATCTAGATACTAGCTAAAGGAAGATTGGGTTGAGATTCACATAGGTTGGTTTCTGTTTTAAGTTATTTCAAGCATGTTTGATTTGAGATTATGATAAATAAAATTAAAACAAAAACCAAACCAAACCAAACTCATCGGGTCAATTCCAACTCATAGTGACCCTATAAAACAGAGTAGAACTACTCCTTAGGGTTTCCAAGGCTGTAATTCTTTGAGGAAGCATTGCTGCCTCATCTTTCTTCCGAGAAGCGGCTGGCTGGTTGGTTCAAACCATTGACCTTTTGTTAGCAGCCATATACGTCAACAAGTTTGCCACCCAGAGCTACTTTGAAGAAAACAATCATGAAAGAATTCAGTGGTTGCAATAATAGTTGTAAGAAATAAACTTTTGTATTTTTTCCTTTCTACTAGATAAAACAAAATGTGCTTTGTACTTATTTTTTTTAGTATTTTTATGAAGTTATGGGACTGGTATTTTTTAATGCTTTTTTTTCCTATTTGTATTGAGAGCAATTACATTTTCTTACTTACTACCATAATTTTTCTGTTCTAATGCCAAATTTGATTATATGAAGATTGCCATTAACCAGCAACTTGAATAAGAACAAGATTTGCAAAAGCACTTTATTAAATTGTTCATTGGCACCCAGATTTAGTATGGAAAGAATCAATACTTTTATTTCAACAAGACTAAATATTTTACAAGAAAAATTAATGCTTTTCCTATTGTAATGTAGCATAATGAAATGTCTAAATTTAAGAGGGATAAGATTCAGGATCAGAACAAACCTGGTTCCTGTGAGTTGGAGGTCTGGTATATCTCTGCTTTCCCACTTCTCCATTACAGGCATATTTTGGAGGATATTGCGGGTTTGGTTCCAGACCACTGCTATAAAGCAAATACTGCAGTAACGCAATTCACACATTTTTTTAGTTTTCAAGTGCATATAAAAGTTACATTTACATTATACTGTAGTCTATTAAAGTGTGTAATAGCATTAGGAAAAATTTGAAATGTTGTGAGAATTACCGAAGTGTGAAACAGAGACATGAAGTGAACACTTGCTTTTGGAAGGTGGCACTGATAGACTTGCTTGACATGGTTGCCACCAACCTTCAATTTGTTTTTTTGTTTTGTTTTGTTTTTTTTAAAAAAGCAGTATCTTTGAAGTGCAAGAAAGAAAGGGGGAGCACAATAAACTGAGATATGCCTGTATGTCTTACACCAGCCACTTCCTCCACTACTTCTCTGACAGGTTTCATAAATTATTGCAATTGGTGCACAGAACGCATAGTTCATACTCACAGTTATGTGGTTTATTAGGGAAGTAACATACTGCAACTCAGGATCAACTTGAAGTAACAGGAACAACTTGGGATCATCAGGAAGTGCACAGGCAGGTCTAGAACGTTCCCTGAAGTGGAGAGCACATCCCTCCCTTCTTCAGTGTAAGATAGATTCTGACCAGGATAGTTCTCAAGGCTCATGAAGCATGTAAGCTCTCTGCTTGAATAGCTCTGTAACTCTCAGGTAGTGCCACTATACTACTCCTCACTGATCAGCTGGTGTGACTTCTCTGGTGGGCAGCTCCTTGTCTGCCTTGCAGGCCTCTCTGCCTTTGGGCTCTCTGCTGAGGAGCTTTCTGTTGTTGGCCTTTCTGCCAGTAGCCTCTTCACCGCTAGCTGGTTTAGTTCATAACTATTGTAGCAACTGTCTCAGCTTTTTCCTACCAGCAGGGCTATTACGCCATCATGCGCTCTGCCATCAGACTGTCTGCCATTGACCTCTCTACCACTAATTGCCCCAGCTCATAGCCAGTATAGCAGCTTCAGGACTGCTCTGTTCACTCTTAGTTCCACTTCTCTGCCATCCCAGGTCTCAGACTTTTTTTTTCTTTTTTTTTTTGGTCACCAGGCCTAGCATCTCAAAAGACATGTTTCTCTCACTACTCCTGTCAACCAAAAAAAAAAAAAAACTTTGCCACACAGTCATTCCAACTCATAGTCACCCCATAGGACAGACTAGACTGCCCCATAGGGTTTCCAAGGTTATAATCTTCCTTATTGAAGCAGACTCTATGTCTTTCTCCCACGGGGCAGCTAGGGGGTTCAAACCATTAACCTTTTGTTTAGAAGCCAAACAGTTTAACCACTGTGTCACCAGGGCTCCTGTCAGTCATGAGTTCTTTAAATCCTCTGTGTTTTAGCCATTTATATATCCCAAGTTACAAGGCGGGGCTTCTCTCAGGAAACCAGAGCTTAGCCAAACTGCAATTACCCATGAGATGTCAGTCAACTCACGTCTTGTACAAAAGTAACATTTTCTGCTGGCAGAGGCCAAGCTCTACCCTTGACAAAAGAAACAAACCCTCTGGAAGATATCCCCAAAGTTGCTTCTCCAAAGAACTAGGGCAAAGGTAACAATTCTTCAGGGTATAGAGGAGCAATCTCCGGAGCTGTTTTTCTGAAGATCCAAAGGCAAAAGACCACATGAAGAAACTAATTGCACCATGCCCGTGAAGGGGACAATAGAGGCATCTAGGTAGTTCTGATGGATTTGCTGGTTTTTGAAGCTGGTATTTAAATAATGGAGGATAACAAATACAGATATTTTAAAAAACAAAACCCCAGTGCCATCAAGTTGATTCCAACTCATCATGACCCTACAGAACGGGGTAGAACTGTCCTGTAGGGTATTTTAGACTATAATCTTTACCTACTTCCATGGAGTGCCTGGGGGATATTTCAGAAGCAAATAAAATGAGCTTAAGGTAAATGAAGTTAGTATTTCAAATAATAAATATTTTTGCTGTGTACATTCATGTGAATGATCTTTAAAATATGATTTGTTGACATTATAGTTGATAAGAAAAAACCATTAGAACTGGGCTTTATTTAGCACTGGTTTACAATAAAAATGCAATAAAGTTTAACTAAAGAGGTTTTGCCTTTGTATTCTTTGACTTTTTCCAAGCCTGAGTCAGCACCAGGAATCTTGAGAACAATGGTAAAATGAAGGCCTCAAGGTGACATGCTTTCCTGAGTTCTAAATAGATTCTATGGTCCATAGCCTTGGTTTTAGGCTAACCCTAGCAAAAATAATTTGTGTATCCTTTTCATATTTGAAGTTTTAAGGGTAGGTTTATGGTGAAACTATACACTTTGTGTATATCTACTTCTGTAATGATACTGCCTCAGAAACCCAAGGGGGGGTCGCTATGAGTCGGCTGACTTGACATATAACAACAACAATGTAATATTTTTCTTAAATGAATGTATTCATATTGTCCTAACTTTATAAGATTGATAAGTATGGATATAATATGAATATATCATGAGTATAAGGAATAATAAAGGAATTATAACTGTTAATTAATAAATAGTAATTTTAAAATGCTTGATAAGTTAAAAAGTTTTGATCCTAGGGTGGGAAGTTGGCTGATGTTTTTAATCATAGATTAAGAAATAAGTTACTTTATATATATATCAGTTTTGGACACCCCCAACTACTTGTGAGGTCTTTTTCTACCTTTCTACCTTATGCTGATATGGCAATCAGTAAATATATAATCACCTTCCCCTTCACCAGTCTCTCATTGTTAGGAGCTATGGAGGGTACAGGGTCCTTGGTTCTTAGAGTAACTTGTCTAATTAGTACTATAGGATATAGAGAATAATTATATACCGCCTCTAATAGTTGGAAAAGAAGACCTGGTAGTTCATGGTTAGACATTCAGCTGTTAACCAAGACTTGACAGTGGCTCCAGGGAGAAAGGACCTGGTGAACTTGGCTCCTGTAAAGATTTCAGCCTAGGAAACCCTGAGGGGCAGTTAGTGCTACAGTATCCATAAGGTTACTGTGAGTCAGGATCGACTCCATGGCACACAACAACATCAGCAAATACCTGGAAAGAGAAGACAAACTTAAAAGCATTAAATACTGCTGATTATTTTATCTTATAAATATGTAATTAGCAAATGCCCAAATGTATCTGTTGGTTATATAATTAGACCATTTGCAAAATAAGGAGTTGAATTAATTTACATAAGGAAGGCAAGATGCAGTTACATAGAAAGACATTTTCATGGTTCGGAAGAAGGCGAGTTGGTACTCCAGGATTATACCATATGTAGAATGCATTACAAATGTGTATGTAATGTGAGGTAATTAAAAAAAACACGAGCCCACTGCCATCAAGTTGTTTGTGATTGTGCTGTCATGCCATGAAATTGAGTCATTGAGTCAGCGCTTTACATGTTCTTTGAAAGATTGTTTTGAAAGTCATTTTTGCAGAATATTTATGATTTTATATAAATGGAATCAATATTTGCTCTTTTGTGACTGAATTTAGCGTAATGCTAAATTACCCTGTAGCATGTATTACATCATTCCTTTTTGTTGTCAATTGATGAGATTATTAGTCACATAACAGAACATTTTGTTTATCCATTTAGCCATTCATCAACTGTTGAACATTTGGGTTATTTCTACTTTTTGGCTATTATGAATAATGCTGTTACAAAAATACATATACATGTTTTTGTGTAAACATGCTTTCATTTCTCTTGCAGAATGGCTGAGTCGTATGGTAACTGTGTTTAACAATTTGAGGAATTGTCAAACTGTTTTCCAAAGCTCAGAGTTTATTCTGGAGAATCATCTCACAGAATATAGCTTGGTTACAATTTTAAAGAGACCAGTGGTGTAGCAGTAACTTAATGCACTCTGCTGGATTTGTCAAGTTAGATAAGAACTTGCTCACAAAGAAATAGATACAGCAAACAGATAAATTAAGAAATAAACTGACAAATATTTTCACTCCCTTAACAATTTTGTGTTTGGTGTTTGTTTCAGTGCAGTGAATGTAATCAATTGCTGTTTGAAATTCTATTTATTTTAAAAACTAGGAGAGGAGGTAGGATTTTGGTTGAACTTAAAATTTCAAGTAACTTTTAAAATGACATAAATAATATATCCTTATTGTCAGAAAATGTGGAAAGCATTGCCAATACCACTTAAATCCCTATAGTCATAATATCCTATGAGTATCACTTGTTAGTATTTGTATGTTTTCTTTGTCTGTGTATATGTGTGTATATACACAAACAGGAAAAGTAATAAACTTAAAAAAATAAAATTGAGTTTACAGTAGATGTGTTTTACGAAAGGTCATTATTATTATTCAGTACTTAGTATACTTTCTAGGAGCTCTGGTAGTGTAGTGCCTAAGGCACTTGACTGCTAACAGAAGGCTGGCTGGTCAAACCCACTAGCCACTCCTCGGAAGGATGGTTGGGCAATCTACTTCCATAGTGATACCGCCTCAGAAACCCAAGGAGGGATCGTTATGAGTCGGGTCTGACTTGACGGCACATAACAACAACAACAAGTATACTTTCTAAGCACTTCATATGTTTAATTTATTCAATCATTATTACTCAATGAGGTGTAGGTACTATTATTTCCCCTATTTTGCAGATGGAAAAATTGAGCCATAGTAAAATTTAGTTACTTGCCCAGGACACGTAGCTATAAGTGGAAGAGCCAGGAAATTTAGATGTGCTCTTACACTACTCTCTCTGTATAAATCTTTCCCCATATTGATAATTAGAGCAGATCCTAGAAGTGACGTTGTTGTTGTTGTTATGTGCCCTCGAGTCAGACCCAACTCGTAGCGACCCCTGCTTGGGTTTCCAAGGCAGTATCACTACAGAAGTAGATTGTACTAATGTGATATGCAACTGACTTAAACTGCCACCTCCCCCGAAAAAATCTCTTAAATGTCTGATATAGAAAATTTATTTGAAATATCTATGCACTGAAGAAAATAGTATCATTTTTAAATAATGCCACTGCTGTTATATTTTACAGATAAGCCCCACAATCCTATGGTAAATGCCGGAGCAATTGTTGTGACTTCATTAATAAAGGTAAAGTGTTGACATTTCCTTTTAACCTAGCAAAATTTTTAATAACTAAGGCATAATGGTGAATCTTGAATTTTTCATTTATGTAGAATTGTGGAACATTTTTTCTGGGTCTTAGAAATAATTAATCTTATTGAATATTTTGATTTATTTCAAAATAAATGATGTAATAATTCCAAAGGCAAGATTAAAAACAGATGACTATAAATTCCAAGTTAGTTTCTCTTGACTTGAAGATCTGGCAGAAATTCAAAAAGAAGTCTGCTGAATAGTAGGCATAGGAATGTTTCTTAAAGTTTTGATTTGTTTTCCCTCTTCTTTTGGTTCTTCTAGAACAAATGGATCTAAACCAAATTTGATGCATTTATTGTATGATTTTGGTCATCGTATGTAGAAACATGTTCTAATACTTTAAGACGAAGTATATTTACCCTTGCTTAGTCTCAAGTCTTTTATACTCTAATGAGCTGAAATCACAATTTTCATTTGAACTTGTTTTACTTAAATAATGCCATAGCTAAAATAAATAAGGCTTATTGCAATTTTTAAACTGTATTATTTTCCTTATGCTTTGAAGTTTGCATTATATTTAGTGTTTGGTTTTCCTTAATAATTGGAAGTTTTAATGTTTTGAAATAACCATTTGAAAATGGTTCTTTTGTCAGATACTTAGATTTTAATTTTAACTATAATTTCCATTTATATAAATTTAATTTGTGTTAGAATAAAGCATAATCATGTAGCTTTATAGCTATATTACTAAGGATGGGGTACTCTGCTACACAAAGGGTATGAATTACACCCTTAGCCCAATTCATAAAAATCCATCTAATTTGTATACCAGAAGTCCTCTCTTAATTCTTGTTGAATTTCATATTCATTGTCAAAACCTTTAAGGTAGACTATTGCCTTAGAATATACATACATACACATAGATAACATACATACACACATACATATTTAGTTGTTATTTTGGGGCAAATGCTGCATGCATAATCAATCCTTACAGCCCCCGTGAAATGTTTTAAAGTAACTTATTTTAATAGGCTATGGAAATTTTTATTTTGTCCATTATAAAATCTGGTTATTTATGGCTATTTTACATAAGAAAAAAAGTTTTTTGCTAAAGGCAAAAGAAACATTATTATAGAAATCTTTGTTTATTGTAGAAAATTACAGTATGAATGAATATGTGTTTGATACAGTCCCATCTTTGGCTAGCTTATATTGTAGTGTGGGATATACATGAGTAAATAGGCCTTTATAATGAGATCAGGAAATGTTCAGTGAGAGAAGTGTCATTAATAATTGTTCAGATTTGAACAGTAATTTAAATTAAGGTCTTGAGAATTATGATGATAGAATGTATATGTTAATGTTTGATGACCACTGGAATGGTTTTGAGCCTTTTTTGGGTCTTCTCAGAAAATACAGTGATTTTACATACAACTTAAGGAGATTCACAGGCCTTTGAAGCTGATTCATAGACCCCAGTTTAAAAATTTTTACACGGGAAAAAGATTAACATGGTAACCAAAAGTATTCTCAAGAAAGGACATGTGTAAATGACTAATCCATGACTTCTTAACTGCATGCAGTTAAAAAATCTTTTGGTTAATGATTCATGGGTATAGTACACTGCCCATCCTGTATATATGGGAATTGCATGTTTGGTCATCTCACACATTACTTCATTAGTTTCTCTTACCATAGTCACAAGCTATAAACTGTACAACTGAGTTATGTTAGTATGAGCACTTAGAAACTGAATTGAAAAAAGAAACCAAAAACCCAGAACATAAGTGTCATTTAATATGAAGCAATGCAGAAATTTAACTGAGTCATTTTGTATTTACAAATTTGATCAGTGATTTTAACTTTCTTAAAATTTTAAGTAGCCCAGGTGGCACAGAGGTTTAGTGCTTGGCTGCTAACCGAAGGTGGCAGCTCAATCTGGTAAATTTGTATATAATATTTTGGGGTATCATTCATATTTAAGGTAACTTACTTTGAGTTTTTGTTTTTCAAAAGTATCTCACAAGTGATTTTTTTCTAAGTGAAGTTCATACAAATCTTGTATGGGGAATTTCAAATAAACCTTTATAAAACTGACTGCCCCAGAATGTCATAGTTTTCTTAAGATCTTTTTAACAAAGGATTAATAAATATCTGTATGCAATCTCTGGAAGTTATATGATTATGTAATATTTATGAATTAGTAATAGGTTTGAAATTTAGAAAATATTAAAACTATAGCCAAAAGGGACTTTAGATGTTGTCAAGCCCAACTCTCTTTATATAATTGAGGAAACTGAGACCAAATAACTTGTGACGTAGAATCAAGCCTAAGCTAATTCTCATGATACAGATTTTTTTTTCTGTTTGCTGTTTATTAGATTTCACTCTGTCATATTTAATGCAGGTGTGATAATATCTTTGACTTTAACTTGTATAGCTATATTGTCTGGAAAGGAGAAATGTTATTTTCTTAAAAAGTTATGTGTATTTTTTAGTAGGTCTACATAGTTATTCTTTGGGTATCAGTCAGTGCCTACTATCTGTAAGGAACCAGGTCCCTCCCAGTGAGCTTGAGTTTGAGTACCAAAGCTTGGGTATTTTACCATTGTTACTGAATGGAAAGGCGCCCTGCTGGTGCAGTGGTTAAGCTATTGGCTGCTAACAGAAAGACTGAACACACTAGCCACTCCATAGGAGAGAGATGTGACAGTCTGCTTCCCTAAAGAAAATAGCCTTGGAAACCCTGTGGAGTTAGTTCTACTCTGCCCTGTAGGGTTGCTGTCAGTCAGCATCGATTAGACAGCAGTGGGTACTAGGTATGAATTCTGGTTTTTTAGCTCTTCTTTTATCTGATGAACTCTTAAAGCCTATTTGTGATTTTTTTTTTTTTTTTTAATTCAGGACTTTATAATGATGCTATTAACACATTCTCCTCATATTACTTCATACCCTGGGGCAAAAAAATAAAATAAAATAAGCAGAGTCTTTATTAAGACTCTTTATTGCATAATTTTGTAGTATTGATATTTTTTCCTTGTAGGATTGGTGGTGATCCTCAGGAAATGGGGGAAGAGGCAAAGCAAATGTTCAAAAGGATTAGCAGATTGTGGAAAAAAGGAGGATTTGGACAGAAGGAACCTGTTGCATAAATTCTTAACTACTAAACTTATAGAAAAACTCCAATATTTAAAATTTTAACCAAAGCTATATAGGTAAATACCTTTTTAAAAACAAATGTCATTTTATACTTAAAATGCACATAAATTTTTGAAAAAAAAATATAAGGGGTACTATACTTGATTTCTTTATGGTAGCTACTAACTTTAAAGGATTACTATTTGATGCAGTCTGTTTTATTTGATGATGATAATATGTGATTGCTTGATTGAGAAAAGAATAAAAATAAATTTGAAAGGAGCAGTATTTCTGAATAAAATAGCTCTAGCCTATGTACTTTTTTTTCTTCGGTGGTAGCAATTTCACCTGGTGTCAATTTAAAAGTTGAGGTCTGGGGATAACTTGAGGGATTGGGTGGCAAAGTGAGGGCAGCATACTGCAAAATAATTGCCACACTTCTGCTTTTTTTGTGTTAGGGGTAAAGAGTAAGTTACATTGTCTTCTGTATGTACGTCTCTCTTTATTCTAGTTGTGGTTGCCAGTTTTTGTCATTTGAAGAAGCTTGCTCTTTTTCATGAAAACTATTTTTGAAAATTGAGAGTTTAAATTGGAGCTATTTTTTTTCTCTTTTCTTTTTTCTTACACTGCTATCTCCAGGGATAGTAGTGGATAATGATGCTCCATGGAAATCAAGTCAAGTTTAATTACATAATGATCAGTTTGACCATATTGAAAATAACCTGTTAGACATGCTTATCAGCTGCCTAACTCCGGAAGGTTTTGGCTGTAGAGAGCAGTGCCTTAGACTGGGTAGCATTCAGAACATAGGACTGTGTTAGTTTATGGACTTGCATAACAATTGGAATATTGGAGGGTTTTGTTTTGTTTTGATTTTATGAAAGGCATATAATTTATTGCCAAAAGAATTCATTTTTCTGTTTTATTGTAGGGTATTAATCTATGAAATAGTATTTTTTTTTCTTCTTTTCCTAACCTACTCTTCTCCCCTCATGAAATAATATTGATCTATGAAAATACTAGATCTAGAACATTTTTTTGTATCTGTAATACCTACTTTAATTCTGCTTTTAATATTAAGGCATTTCTGGGATAAGATGAAACTAAAAGTATTTTATAAGATCATTTTCACTTATCTCTTTTGCCTCTTGTATTAATTTCAAACTTTTAATTGGCTTTTATACCTCTATATTAACATAATCAAATGCTTTATATACAAAATAACTGATTATGTTCATTTTAAATGTGCCATTTTAATATTAAATTTGTTTGTATGTCTCATTTCAATAGTTTTAATAATGTTTTAATCTGTATTATATGTATAAATCCATGAATCAATTCATGAATACATTGTAAAATACTTTAAGATAGTGACATTAATTTCTTTTAATAACCAGTGTTAAAACTCAGGTGGCTCTATATTACGTCTTCATAAAATTTTCTTCAAAAGAATGTAAATGCTATATCATGATAGAGGAGATACTTATAGGAAAATAAATCTATTTCTAGTACTGGGATCTGATTACTCTTTTCAAATAAACCAGTTAGTTTGCTTTTAAAAGTCATTTCAGTGATTAACTTAAAAATGTCAATAAATACATTTTTCCAGTTTAATCTCTCTTAAAGATTTGCTACTATATTTATTGCAAATTACTGCTAACTTATTCAAAATTAAAATAATACATTTAGTAATGCTTATGGAATGATCTTCAGTTTGGGATACACATATTCCTTGGGGGCATGAAGTCTTTCCAGAGTGTGAAAAGAAATTGATAATTTTAAGGTAATCAGTTGCCATATTTCCAGTTTCCTATAGTGCTCTTTCTTATAATTGATTTTCCTTTGGTTCACATATCCTTCCATTTTCCAAAAGCTACCATACTTTTGCATCCTAAATTTTTATGTGGTGCACTGTTTCTGGTTGTAAAAACCTCTTGGGCACCAACAAAAGAAAGCAATTTTGAGGGTATGAATGACTGTAATGATTGGATAACTAATCTTTTTTATATCAGATTGTTTTTAGTTTCAACAAAACTGAAGAGAATTAAGTTGTCAGTTAAGAACATTAAGTCAATTTTTGAGGGAGGATCTCTCTGTGACTTCTGACATATAATGAGACATTTAAAGAACAGAGTGGCAATGCTGTAACAAAACTTTATCTTCATCTACTTACACATTATAAGCAAGGTTTCTCAGCTTATACATCTGTAAAAATTAAAAATAGGAAGAAAAACTGAGTTTCATTCTAGCAATAGAAAATATCCACTGGTAAAACATGAGCTAAGTAAAAATCACTGTTTGGAAGGGAAAAGAAAACACTATAAATGAAAACTTTATACATTAAAGTGGTAAATTACTGATAAATATTTTTCCTTCAATTTTGTATTATGAAATACATAATTTTGTATGTATTTCAAACATAGATGTCTTAGAGTGTGTTCTCTAGAGGAGAAAAATCAATGAAGCATGTAGATGGATGGATGGATAGATTGATTTCCAGGAAGTGGCTCACCAGTAGTGAGACTGGCAAGTCTCAAATCCATGGATGAAATAGCAAGCTGGAGGCTTCTCCTGGCTCATGAGCTAGAGCTCAGAGGATGACAGGTCGGTTGCAGGAGTCAGAGAGAGTGAGCTTTGCCAGAACATGCTATATTGGATGCAAGCCTCATCCGCAAGGAAATCATTGGTTTTCCAGACGATTGGCTACACACATCAGATCACAAAATGGAGGATGATTATACAACATTACATTTTGAAAGAGCAAATTACTCTTTGTCCAGTGTCTGCCAAACCATCATAGCCAAATTGACACATAAATTCATCACCACAATATACGAATAATTCACCACCACAGTATACAAAATAAGAAAAGTTAGTATAACCAGCCTCTATGTACCTTTTGCCACTAGATGATAAAGATTTTATAGTTTTTGTTTTTTTTGGGGGAGGGGAATTCTGTTTATTCATACGTGTGTATGCTTTGCAAGTAAACTTTTTACTGTAAATTTTTCAAAATTAAAATTAGACAATATTTAAAACTGGTAATTAGATCTCATATATCTTTGTGGTACATGAAATCTTTTAAAGAGGCAAAAACACTTTATTAAGTGCCACTTCTAAGATAGATTATAAGAATGAATGTTAATCAAGTGCCATCACTTGTAAACAAGTTAAATTTGGGGAGAGGCTTTCTTAAGACACAGTAATTCAAATATTTTATTTTGTCCCATAATCTGCCTAGGGCATTTTGAGTTACATAATGGCAAACATTGGTGTAAATACCAGTTGTTTCTTAAAAACAAAACAGAAGCATAAGTTAATTTTGCTGTAGTTCAGTAAGCAACAAAAAAATAGACGAAGTTTGTGACCATAGCCTAGAATTGAAATAGCTTTTGCTTTTTTTATTATTCATATTGTACATGATGGCTAAATAAGGAAAATTACTATTAGTTTTACAGGGAACAGTTTCGGTCAGCGAATGAAAGTTTAATGTAACTTGCTTATTTTGCATTGATTAACTGTATAATCTGTAATTAATCCATGGGACATCCCAATGCAAATGCTGACATCCTTTTCCGGAAGAGTTGGCTTTTGGTTTTTATGCGTTTTCAAAGGTTAAAAAGGTTTTTGTGGTTTAAATGTTGTTACATATTTTACAGCATTAGGATCTATGGAATATTTTGACAACTGCAACAGTTCAATGAAGTTGGTAATTTCTTCTTTTAATTATTTTTCATTGAACAGCTTTGGAGTTACATTTCTACCTTTTTATTTCTGGTGTATTATAAGGAAAGAAAAGTTAAAATATGTCAACAGATGCTCTAGGGAAAATATATAGATTGTGATTACACTATAGTGGAAGCTAAATTAACCTTACATTGTTTAAGCTTTGTTAATGCCTGATTTTGCTGATGTAGTATAGTTTCTTTCAGTTATTGATTGTATATGTGTGACTACACATCCTTTCTCCAATAAATTGATTTATAGGGTTTCATAGATTATTAGACACAACTTGTAAAGGGGAGAATGAACCTGGCTTAATATAATTAAATAGTCTAGTTACAGGTTCCACTCCCCTACCCACATAATAAAAATCTAAAGTGTAAATGTTTTGGATATTTTGAGGGTGAAGTTAAAAATTAACACTTTATTTGCCAAATTATTTTATCTTAAATCTTTTTAAAAAATTAGAGATGTATTGTTTCTATTGGGTGCATATCACCAATTAATACGTTTGATTTCAGATCTACAACTTACTGCTTTGTAAACTTCGCCGAGGTAAAATGAAACCATTTGGTTACTTGAACTGATCATAGATTGAACATAGATTGTTCTTATTGACAATTGCAGTAGCTAACGTGTCAGAAATAGAAGTGTTGAAACAATACATCTTCCATGATTTGAATTGGCATAATGCTGGTAGCATAGTGCCTAAGGCACTTGACTGCTAACCAGAAGGCTGGCGGTTCAAACCCACCAGCCATTTCTCGGAAGGAAGGTTGGGCAATCCTACTTCCGTAGTGGTACCGCCTCGGAAACCCAAGGAGGGGTCGCTATGAGTCGGGGTTGACTCGATGGCATATAACAACAACAACAAGAAGTATAATTGTAGCTAATGTTTTAGAGACTATAAAATATAAATTTTAATTCTTTAGTGCAAATATCATTGTAACAAGTGAGCGATACTAAGGGTAGTCTTTTCTGTACTAGTTAAATATGCCCAGAATGTTTGTGTATATTAGAATGGTAAAAGATTAGTTAGTTTTACAGCATAACTCATTTTTCTAACACTAATAATGGCATAACTTTGTGTGTATATATATATATATATGTATATATATATCGGTAGATTGTTCTTAATTGAAAATTATAATGTATGTGTACTTTATTCTTTTCTAAGGGTGAAACTTTATTTTAAGTTTTTAAAATAAGAAATTAAATAAAAGTGTACATTCTAGCAGATCATATACTGTTATGAAAGATGAGCAGACTGGGGTAACTTATACTTCAAATTCTGTAACTTCGGGTTGGGTAAAGATATACTTAAAATAAAGCATTCCCTTTGTAAGTCAGATCCATTCTCAACATTGGTGTTAATGAAAGAACATTTAAGAGTTTATGTAAATACTAAATTACTTTTAGAATTATTTCCTAGATTTAAAAGTACTAATGCAGTGTGTCAATTATAATGGTAGTAGTTTGATATTATACTAGCTTAAAATTTTAACTATAGTGGTACCTATACTAATATATTTATATCTCATTTCTCTGCAGCAAGGAGTAAATAATGCTGAGAAATTTGACTACGTAAGTAGAATATAGAATTGAATTTTTATGCCACAGTCTTTGTATATTTGTCTTTTGATTACTGATACTTCCTACTTTTTGTTTTATAGGTGATGCAGTTTTTGAATAAGATGGCTGGTAATGAATATGTTGGATTCAGTAATGCAACGTAAGTCTGATTTGTGACTCAGTTTTTAATAGTGGAACAGGACAACTCAAATTAATGGAGAACATTTACATGAATAGAATTTCATTTTTGATGCTGTTTTACTCCTTCATATATACTGTATTTAGAATTAATCTGCTTGTTAGTCCTAGGACTTCAGTGAATAAATAATAATTATTTAAAATTTGATCATTAGAGTAAAATAGTTACTTAATTACCTGAGGGAAACATTTTAAAAATGCTTAATTCTTGTGGGTAATCATAGAAAGGACCTCAGTTGTACCTGAAATTACTGACATTTATCAATTTTTCCTTTGCTTATAATACTTGTCTTACTTCTCTTATCCCTTTTGGTGTTTACCCCAGTTGTAACTTTTATTCCAACTTTTTTATTGTGAAACTTGCAAGTTTACAGAAGAGTTAAAGAATAAATAATGAATGTTTATATAGCTTTGACTTATATAACCTGCTTAATATTTAGTCTCATTTGCTTCTCTCTCTCTCTCTTTAAAAGATAAATATGAGTATCTCTACATAAACATTAAGTATGTACATATAAACGTACTCATTTATACTGGTTATGGTCTAGTAAAATCCAACACAGAGTGACCCTATGGGACAGAGTAGAACTGCCCTTAGATTTCAAAGGCTGCAATATTTCAGGAAACAGACTGCCACATCTTTCTTGCAGGGAGTGGCTGGTGGGCTCAAACCACCAAACATTCCATTAGCAGCCAAGCTACTTAACCACTCTGCCACCTTACATAAATATACACGTACATATATGATTTTCTTGTCAAAATACTTGAAGTTGTGGACATCATGACACTAACCCCTAAATAATTCAGCACATATGTCCTAAGAATAAGGACATTCTCTTATATAGCCATTAATACCATTAATTCATTTAAGAAAATTAGCATTGATTTAAAAATATAATAGTAATCAATATTTTATTGTCCCAAACTGTCCTCTTTTATTAAATAATTTACTTTTTATTGTTGTTGAAAATACACACAGCAAAACATACACCATTTCAGCAATTTCTACATGTAAACTTCAGTAACATGAATTACATTCTTTTAAGTTTGCAACCATTCTGAACCTCTTTTACCAAATTGTTCCTCCATCATTGACATAAACTGGCTGCTCCCTAAGCTTCCTGTCTAACCTTTCCAGTTGCTGTTGTCAATTTGATCCCGTATAGACAGTTTTTTAAAAGAGTGTAATGGTGGTTCAAACCCACCAGCCACTCCTTGGAAGAAAGGTTGGGCAATCTATTTCCGTAGTGATACCGCCTCAGAAACCCAAGGAGGGGTCGCTATGAGTCAAATCCGACTTGATGGCACATAACAACAACAACAACAGTGAAACTAAATTGTTGTTTGGTTTAAAGAAGACTATTCCTTCATACCACTTGTCTTGCTCATCCTATCCACTGACAAGGATCCCAACTAATGATGTAAACAAGATAGACATTTATTCCTCTTTCACATAAAAGTCTGTACTGTCCTGGCAGCCCTGCTTTATAAAGATGACCAGGGCCCAGGCTACGCTTTGAGAGGAGTCTCTGGTTGGTACAACTAGACATCTTTTATACTTTTATTTTTTTTTTAATTCAGGAACAAATCAGGAGTCATGGATTGCATTATTGATCGTCTCTTCAGTCTCTTTAAACTAGAACAATGTCCCCTGCCCTACATCCCTGCTTTTAACTTTTTAAATGGCCTTTTTTTTGAAGCATGCAGTCCAGTTGTCTCATAGAAACTTTATGTGAAGGGCCAGATAGTGAATATTTTAAGGTTTTATGAACCATGTGGTCTCATTGCAAGTACTCAATTTTGCTGTTAGAGTACAAAAGCAATCACAGACTACATGAGACTGTGTTCCAATAAAACTTAATAAAAACAGGTGGGAGGCCAGATGTGGGCAGTGGGTGCATATTACTCATTCTGGATTTGTCTAATGATTTGCAAAGGAGCCTTGGTGGCACAGTGGTTAAACACTGGGCTGCTAATTAAATAGTTGGTGGCTTGAACCCACTAGTCATTCTGCAGTTACATAAAGATTTCAACCTTGGAAACCTTATGGGATAATTCTGCTCGGTTCTGTAAGATTGCAGTAGGTCAGAATCAACTTTAGCAGTGAGTTTGTATTTCCTTGTGGTTAGACAAAGGTTAAATGCTTTCGACACGAATGTGGACTAAGATAGGTTTTGTCTTTATTGCTTCAAGTTTCAAGAAACAGAATATTTCAGGTTATTTGCTTGACCAATTTATTTTCATCAGCTTAAGTATTTTTTCTAAGATATTCTCCTTTAATCTCATCCTGTGTCTTCGGTGCTCTCAGATTACTATATTTTATTGAATCTATTCTATTTCTTTGCCCAGTCACCACCATTAATATGTTGACCTGCTTAGGACCTGGACAGAGTGTCTCCTTTCTGTATGTATCCTTGTTATTTGGCAGATAATAAGCACTTCATGTAGTGTTTGGTCAACTGAACTAAGTGCCAGGCACTGTCATGAGTAGTTAGTCCTTTTTCTATACTGTGTTAATAATGTGTGAAACAAAATATGGCAGACTGACACATTTCCAAGGACTTTTCCGTTTCTGACATTGTTTTCTGACCATGTTATTGTTATGTACTGTCAACTCCAACTCCTAGCAGCCCTGTAGGGCAGAGCAGAACTTCCCCATAGGGTTTCCTAGACTGAAATCTTTTTGGGAGCAGATTGCCAGGTCTTTCCTCCCATGGATACGTTGGGTGAGTTTGAACCAAGCCCAGTGCTTAACTGTTGTACCACAAGGACTCCTTTTTCTGACCATAGAAATATTGAAATGTAAAGTTCAAATGGACTTTGATGGTCTGGTATTGTGGTCAGTATACAGAGTGTCACCTACACTTCTGCCCACACCTTTTGGCCACTTGTATGTTGATACGTCATGGATACCACTAACTTACATCTGTCTAAATCAAAACTCAGTGTCTTTCTTTCCAAACTGCTCTTAGCTCCAGGGATCCTCTTCGTAGGTTTGTACCAGACTTCACCCTTTTTCTTCTCTTTCCAGTCAGATTGGAAAACTTACCCAGCTGCTCTCATGTTTAACGATATCTCTCCATCATTTCTGCCACCAATGCCTGAATTCAGGCTTTCTGCAGCTGTCATTATAGTAATCTCCTAATACTTCACTCATCCTTTCTTTATCCTCTTTCCCAAACTGATGTCAGAGTATCCTTCTAAGATAAAAATCTGTTTGGAAGCCATCTGGCTTTTATTTTGTAGGCAGTCTGCTGCCATGTATACTCTTTGGTATTTATCAGTTTTGATGATTTGGTTCCAGTCTCCTCTTTTACTTTCATGTCTGCCCTGTCTTCTCTGGGAATCTTATGTTCCAGGTACATCAGAATATTTGTTACTCTTCAATGAAGTGTTTTGTCTTTTATGCCTTTATAATTTCATTCTGGCTACTTGGAATTTGCTGCTTCAGTGACTCTCTCTTGCCTAAAATCTGTAAATCCAGTGGGTCCTGAAAGTCTAATTCGTGTGCCCCTGTCTGGATGAATTTGCATGGATTCCCTCAGTTGGGACTGATTGTTTATTATACTTTTGGGGGATTCTGAGGATTTTGCAGTTTTTCGAGTATTTTAAAGGTGGTATGTTTGATAATTTTTAAATTAGCTTCTTTATTCATAAAATATGAAGACTAGAAAGGTCTAGATTGTGTTCATTTCAGTCCTTTGACAGCTGAGAAAAATTAAGGCTGAAAGAATTGTCAAGTAAATACTTGCCTAAGGCCATATAAGTAGCGTTTTGACAGATCTGGACCAAGAACCCAGCACTTCTGACCAGTTTAGTATTCTTTATATTGTACTGTGCTATACAAATTAAACTGCAGAATAATTACGTTTTTACAGAAAGTAAATAATAAAAAGAACAATTTATTTTTCCTCCCCAGGTTTCAGTCTGAAAGAGAAAGTGGAGATCGGAATTTTGCAATAGGATATTACTTAAAAGAAAAAAAGGTTTTAATATTTTTATTTCTATTTCAAGTTATTCTCTTACTTAATAAAATGTATAAGTGTATATGCTGAGAACTCAACAAAAGCCGTTATAAGCACCTACTTGTTACTATTATAGTGCAGAAGTTTTTATAAAACAATCTTGAATTAGCATTATCAAATCGTTAATGTTTCATTAAATTGATTTTTATGTAACAGTACTTCAAATATTTGACTAGCCTTATTAGTGCAAATTCTGCTTGATGTTTAATGCTTTTTTCCAAATGTATCATGCCTATCTATTGTTGATTACTTGATTTTTTTGAAGTGTCTGGTCCAATAAATAACATGATATATGACGTAAGCATCCATTTATCATTGTCATTTAAACGACAGTTTATATGATGTGATACAATTTTACTTTGTTTTTCTTAGTTATTTCAAGGTTATACCCTTTTATATAGGTTACATGCTATTTTACTCTCAGTGAAAGTGAAACAGTTGTATACATTTTCTATTTAATCTTCACTTTTGCTTTTACTTATGTGCATATATTTTTTCCTCCAGTGTTCCTGTATTTTTAACTGCCTTTTTTATTTTTTCAGTGTTTTCCAGAAGGAACAGACATGGTTGGTATATTAGACTTTTATTTTCAGGTAATTTACTTTAACTATATGAACTGAGTATATAAATGGGTATGTCACATTTTGCAGAATATAGATGTCTCTGAAACCTTGACTCTAGGACAAGAGAAAATACATTCCCCCATAGACTTTCAAAATGATACCCTCATGAGAAACAGTCCAGTAACCATGTCTCCTAAAAGTTCATGTCATGGAATGTAATAAGGAAACATTTTTCTGAAACACTGTATTTGAAATGTCAAAAGTAATGTATAGTCCCAGAAATTAGTTTCCTCTAAGCTATGTTGTATTGGGAAAAGCTGTTTGCTGCTTTATCAGAGGGCTTATTTTCAGCTTTGGAAAGTGGCATTTTCTTAGCCAACTTGTTATCTTTTGTAAATTGGTTATTAATATTATATCTTGGCTTAACTGGTATTAAGAAAATTGTTTAGTTCATTTCTGCACAATAGGTTTTCTTCTCGGGTAGAGTAGCTCTCCATATTGCTGGAGGGTGGACACTCACATAATTACCTTCTATGGTATTGAACTCAATTTAAGATAGCCTTTCTGAACACTTCTACCCCCATGTTTTCCATTCAATTCATTTTTGTAGAATTCATATAGTTGGTGACACTACAATGATATGTCTCTATTATAATGCTATAGTAGGCTACATTATTGCTACTTTCTAGTTTACCTTACGTTTACCTATCTCCTTTTATATTTAAGGTGCTTTAATCTTACAGAAGATGAAAGGGAGGTTGATAACTAAATTTCAATAGAAATCAGGTCACAGTTTGTCACCTTCCCAAATAAGGGATGAACTAGAAATATACCAGATATATCTATCTCCTCATCCAGTGCTCTTTCAGATTATTTTAAATAGTAAAAGTGTGAGCAAACAAAATAGTGTGTAAATCTACTCATGCTCTCAGTGTAAAGAACCGTGAATGTGAATTCAAAGATCATCAATATAAAATTTCAGTGTCCAGCTTGGCCACTTATTATCCATGTGACCTAATTTTAATTAGTGAGGCATAGCTTCATTATCTGTGGCATACACCTGACCTAATACCTTGGATTACATTTAGATAACACAAGGTGAAATTACTTTGTAAACTGTAAAGTACTGTTTGAAGTATAGTATCACTTTCATTCTTTTTATCCAGTAGTTGTTTTTCCCCTAACCCACAATTTTTTTTTTCATATGTTACAGTTTCTTTCATTTTTGTATATTTATTTAAATTTGCTATAGCTTAATCCACTATCATCAAGCTGATTATGATTCGTAACAACCCTGTATAATGGAGTAGAATTGCCTCACAGGGCTTCCAAGGCTATAAATCTTTATAGACATGACTGCTACATCGTTCTCCCACTGAGCAGCTGTTGGGTTCAAACCACCACCCTTTTGGTTAGCAGCTAAATACTTAATTGCTGCACCACTAGGGCTTTTCTATTACAGCTTACATTCTACCAATCTATTATGAAATTTTCATACTTCAGAGCAAAAGTGAAGAGACAGCCATAGAAGCCATACTTTACTTTTTGGTGAAGGGTGTTTCTAACTGAACATTATCATATCAAGAAAGTACCACTAAAGGTGGGATTTGTCAGATTCATTGTATGTCACCTTATGAAAAACCATTTCTGAAGCTGAAAGAACTGAAGAAAAAATTGAACCCTTGAGTTGCAGTATTGAAGGATTTTATTGGTAAAATATTGAACAATGCAGGAAGCATCAAAAGAAGATAGAAGGAATATACAATCACTGTACCAAAAAGAATTGGTCAGCATTCAGCCATTTTAGGAGGTAGCATATGATCAAGAAAGAACCAATGGTATTGAAGTCCAAGCTGCACTGAAGCCAATGGTGTAAAACAAGGCTTTAGGAATTGATGGGATAGCCATTGAGGTGTTTCAACAAATGGATGGAATGCTGGAAGCCCTTGCTGATCTACTCCGAAAGATTTCAAAAACCTACCTGGCCAACTGACTGGAAGAGAGCCATATGTGTAGCCATTCAACAGAAAGGTGATCAACAGAATGTGGGTGTTATTAAACAATATTAATATTACACACAAGTAAAATATTGCTGAAGATAATTCAAAAATAGTTGCAGCAGTACACTGACAGGTAACTGCCAGAAATTCAAGCCAGATTCAGATGCCAGATTCAGATGGGTACGATTACTGATGTCAGATGGATCTTGATTGAAAGGAGAGCATACCAGAAAGATGTTTATTTGTATTTTATTACTATACTAAGACATTTGATTCTGTTGATTATAACAAATTATGGATAGCACTGCAAAGAATAGGAATTCTGGAACACTTACTTGTGCACTTGTGGAACCTCTGAACAAAGACCAGGAGACAGTTGTTTGAACAGAACACTGGGGCTACTGTGTGGTTTAAAATCAGGAAAGATGTGCGTTGGGGTTGCATCCTTTCACCAAACTTAATCAGTCTGTATGCTGAACGAATAGTCCAAGAAGCTGGACTATCATGTTTTTACACAAATAACCTGCATATTATTTGAGTTTGTTTTGCTTTGTTTTTTGCCAACTGTGCCCTTCCACCAAAGTATTTTTGTTAGCATACTATGCTAATTTTTTTATGCAAGTAATTTTTTTTTTAACATGGCTTAAAGTGAAGATGCAAGTAACAATAATTTATATGGGAGAATATGTGAATGTTCCCGGGCCCAACCTACCAAATAATAACATATAAACTAAAAAGCCTTAAATAACACTAACATACAGTGTTCAGACACAGTTCAAATCTGTGGTAGTTTGATGCTGAGTGTAGTTTGTGGAAAGCAGTGCCACTCATGCTGCTCAGTGTGTGTGCTGCCTCTCTAATACTTACTGCAAAACAAATGCCCAACAGGATTTTTACTTTTCACCTTTTTTTTTTTTAAAAGTGAAAATGCTCTTCAAATTTCTTTTTATTAGCAAAAACATGTACTTATGTAGGTCTTTGAGAAGAACATCATGCTTGGTGAAGTTGAAGGTCAGCAAAAAGGAAGACTCTCAATGAGATGGATTAGCACGGTGGCTGAAACAGTGGTCTCAAACATAGCAACAGCTGTGAGGATGGGCACAGAACCAAGCTGTGTTTCGTTCTGTTGTACATAGGGTTGCTGTGAGTCAGAACTGACCTGATGGCACCTAACAACAGTAAATTAGGAAATGATCTTTGAAATTTAAATGGTGTTTCTCTTTTGTGATTAAATTAACCTTTGGGCCAATCAGGATAATGAAGGAGCTAGAACTTTGGCCGGTTGAGATCTTTGGAATCTCTTTAAATTATATAAAATCCCTTTGGAGTAAAGATTTCAGATTTGTGTGAAATAGCAGATAAAGTATATTATTTTAGGTGTAAATTTTAATACTAACAGTAACATGGACCTAAATATTTAGAATTCACATTTCTTTGTTTTAGCTATGCTCCATTGAAGTGACTTGTGAATCAGCCAGTGTGCTGGCTGCGACACTGGCTAATGGTGGCTTCTGCCCAATTACTGGTGAAAGAGTATTGAGCCCTGAAGCAGTTCGAAATACACTGAGTTTGATGCATTCTTGTGGCATGTATGATTTTTCAGGGCAGTTTGCTTTCCATGTAAGTAATTGTTCAATCTTAATTTTCTCTGTCAAGAAACTAGTCTGCACTCATTCTATTAAAAATGCAATTTGAACTTTGTTCTTAAGACTATACATTAATTTTTGAAAGAGACTGTTTTTAAGGTTAATTTGTTACACAATTATTAGATAACATAGTTAAGCAGTCTCCCAGATATTCTTAAGAACTTGAGATTTAAATTATAGACCCTCATCACTACTATCTTTATGGCATTACAATGTATATAAAGTTAATACAGACAGTATTTTCAATTGTTAATCTTTTGTATTGTAGTAATTACATACCTCAGGAATTCCTTAAGTGAAGTAAGAGTTCATAGATGTAATTTTTTTTTTTATTAGGATTTGGGTGAAGATTTACAGAGTAAATTCACTTTTCATACAGCAGTTCACATATACTTTGTCTCATGACATTGACCAAAATTTACAATGCAGCAGCTCCCCTCCCACTTCCTCCCCATAGTTACCTCCTCCCAGTGTCCATCCCTTCATACTCTTTTGCACCCTGAGCTATCTCCCTGTGCATAAGCAGCCCTTCCTTCTCCCATGATTGTTCTCTCCAGGGCGTGTGTCTACTTGAGGTAAATGTTTAACTCACATGCCTGTACTTTGTTTGGCTGGAAACCACAGTTGTGGGTTCAATTCCAGACCTGAAGGGCAGCTAGGGGCCATAGTCTCACTGGTTCCACCAGGCTCCATTGGACCAGCAAACCTGGTCCCCACCTTCTTTTTTTTTTTTTTGCCTCCAAATGATTTTGAGTTTTGTACCACATTGTTCTCCCTCTTTATGCAGGATCTCCTACATCCCTTCCAAGTGGATGGCAGTGGTAGCTGGGCACCATCTAGTTCTTCTGGTCTCATGGTTGTATAGGTTGCAGATCGGATGGTGTACCAGTCTCTAGGACTGGTTGTTTCCATTAATTTTGGTTTTCTTCTTTCTTCTTGACGAGGAGAGACACGTTGTTGCATCTAGATGGCAGCTTCCTAGCTTTTAAGGTCCCAGTAGCTACTCGCCAAAGTAGTAGGTGGAACAATGTTTTGTATAGTATGTTATGCCAATTGAGCTTGATGTCCCCTGCGACTATGGTCCCAAGCCCGCAGGATCAACTACTCGGTCCCTCTGGGTAGCTGGCTGTGACCAAGTAATGACCATAACCTTGCCCCTTGTCAGCTCTACTACACACCTAGGAATTCTGATCATTCACATGAACTTATAGGCCCATTGTTTGCCAGCCCTATATATGATCTTGGCATAGATGTAATTTTTAACATCTTGGGTACAACCAGAGATGTTTTAAAGGACTTAAAGTATATTAAAGCTGAAACTTAACAAAAAATGTACTTCTTTAATCTCTGTCATACTTTCATCATCTGTGAAGTGTATAACCCCTTACCACAAGTCTGTTCCAACTATAGTGACCCCATAGGACAGTAAAACTGCCACGTAGGTTTTCTAAAACTGTTATCTTTATGCATTACAGATTGCCACATTTTTTCCCCATGGAGCAGCTGGTGGGTTGGAACCATCAGCTATTAGGTTTGCAGCCGAGCTCTTTAACCACTGTGCTATGATGGGCTTTTTGTGAAATGTGTAGACTTTGTTTTGCTTAATGTCAAGTTATAATACACTTCCAAAACTTTTCTTTTAATTTGGAAATTTTCACACATACAAAAATAGATTCATTAAACAAATCCAATGCATCCTTTACTGAGCTTCATTAGTTATCGTTACATGGCCAATCTTATTTCGTCTATGTGCACACCTGCTTCTCTCCTTGACTCATTGTATTTCAGTATGTAATTCTAAATGAAAGGGTCTTTTTTAAAAAAATAATTGCAACACTGTTACTGCATATTTCAAAAACTCTAAAATGAAAATTAAGCTTTTATGTCTTCAAAATGTAATGTTTATATTTCTTAATTTGTCTTACATTTTATAATTTGTTTGACTTGTACAAAAAAAAAGGCCATCCATTGTCATTGGTTTTCTTTTAATCCAGTAGCTCTTACTTGACTTTTTTTTTTTTTTCTCTTGTATTTTTGATTGAAAAAACTAGGTCATTTATCCTGTTTACCACAGTCTAGATTTTGCTAATTACATCCATTCTATTGTCCTTTGTATGTCCTGTAAATTGAAAAATCCTATTCAGGTTTTTTTTTTTTTTTTTTTTTTTAAGTTTTATGCAAGATTGCCTCATAGGTGTACTTCTGTTGAGAGGTACTCAGTGTGTAAATGTTAGTGATCCATTAATGAACACTTCCCTGGTGATATAAATTTTGTCTTTTATCATAATTGTTACATAATGTAACAGATGTTTTGAATAATGTAACCTTATGATTTTTTTGTGAAGGATTCATTTGAATAGCCATTTTATCTTTGTTCCTTAGATGTTTCTCTGGCACTGTACCACAAATAACCTTTTGGGAAGGAATAATTTCTCATTCTTTTCTATTTATTTTATTAAAATAACTTTATATTTAAAACCAATGAATGTTTATTTTAGAACAATTAGAAAATATAGTCAAGAAGAATAAAATAACAATCATAGCCTTTTAATTTAGATATAATCTATTTTAACTTGTTGGAGTGTATCTTTCAAATTATATTTCTATACTTTAAATATATCAAACTGTTTTTATAACTTTTTCATTTACAATATTTATCTCCAACATTATTTTTAATGTTGGAATGCTGTTATTTGGTGTATATCATAATTTATTAGCTAATTCCCCTATTTTGGGGCGTGCCTTTTTTTATTTTCAAATATTGACATGAATGTCCTTTTTATCCCCTCCCCAAATTATTTTTAGGTTGGTCTTCCTGCAAAATCTGGAGTTGCTGGGGGCATTCTTTTAGTTGTCCCCAATGTCATGGGCATGATGTGCTGGTCCCCTCCTCTGGACAAAATGGGCAACAGTGTTAAGGGAATTCATTTCTGTCACGTAAGCATATTTTCTTAATGAAAATAATGATCAAATAAGTTGAGCCATCTATTGATTCTATTTTTTACCATTTTTGTGGTTGCTTCATTCTTGGAGCGCTGCCTGTCTTCCAGTTACTAGGTGGTCACAGGGCTCTCAGGAGCACCTGGTTGGCCTGTACCAGAAAGCTCTCGTACAACCCTTCTCATAGAAAAGTATTTGTTTGATGTTTTAAATTTCATTGTTGTAGTTTGGAAAAGCATAACAATAGATTCTAAACTTGGAGAAGTAATTATTTTTAAGAATTACTACAGTCTATTCTATCACTTTTAATCTGGTTGAATATTTTTATTTATATTATATATTATTTTTACTCTTGTATATATATTTGGAGGAAATAGGCACTGCCATTATACACATTGCTGGACTTTAATTCTAAATATTAATTACAGGTAGAGGTGAGGTGTAATCAAAAGGAACTGATTTAGTTTTTTAATTGTTTTTTTGGATGAAAGTTTACAGAGCAGATTTTTTCCATACAGCATTTCACACACATTTTATTTCATGACCTTGACTTCAGTTCTCCACAGTGTAATAAATCTCTTCCTACTTCCTCCCCAGGGAGCTCTGGTAGCATAGTGGTAGCACTTGCCTGCTAACCAGACGGCTGGCGGTTCAAACCCACCAGCCACTCCTCGGAAGGAAGGTTGGGCAATCCTACTTCGTAGTGATACTGCCTCGGAAACCCAAGGAGGGGTCGCTATGAGTCGGGTTTGACTCGACGGCACATAACAACAACAACAACTTCCTCCCCATAGTTACTTTTTCTCTGTGTCCTTTTCTCCCATGCATTCCTGCCCCTCTCTGTTCTCCCACGATTGATTGCTGCAAAGAGTGTATTTACTTGGTGTAAGTGTTCACACCATATGCATGTTTTTTGTTTTGGTAGAAACCACAAGAATGAGTTCAGTTCCAGACCTGAAGGGTAATTAGGGGCCGTAGTCTCTGGGATCTAACCAGGCTCTATCAGAACAGTAAACCTGGTTTTCTGTTTTGTTTTGTTTTTTATGATTTTGAGTTTTGTTCTACACTGTTCTCCCACTCTATCCAGGATCTCCTGCACTGATCCCTTTCCAAGTGGTTGACAGTGAAAGCAAGGCACCATCTAGTTCTTCTGGTCTCATGGTTATATATGCTGAGGACTGTATGTTCCACTAGTCCCTTGGATTAATTGTTTCTGTGTATCTTTGGTTTTCTTCATTTCTCTTTACTCTGAATGAGGAGAGACCCATCTAGGTGGCCACTTTTAAAACCCCAGTTGTTATTCATGAAAATAGGATGTAGAACAATGTTTTTTTGTAGTATATTATGCCGATTGAGCTTGATATCCCCTGTGACCATGGTCCTGAGCCCACAGGTCCAACTACTTGCTCCCTCAAGGATCACTGGTTGTGGCCAAGAACTTTACCCCTTGTTAGCTCTACTGTACACCCGGAAATTCTTACAGCACATACAAATATGCATGTAGAAACATCATCTGCCAAACCTATACATGGTCATGGACACACTCTTCCCCCCTGCCACTATACACGTTGCTGGAATTTAATTGTAAATATTAATTACAAGTGGAAGGGAGGTGTAATCAAAAGGAATGGATTGTTTTTAAAAATGTTGGTGGTGTAGTGCCTAAGGCACTTGACTGCTAACCAGAAGGCTAGCAGTTCAAACCCATCAACCACTCCTCAGAAGGAAGGTTGGGCAGTCTACTTCCGCAGTGATACTTACTGCTTCAGAAACCCAAGGAGGGGTTGCTGAGTTGGGTCCAACTCAACAGCACATAACAACAACAACAAAACCCAGCAGAAAGACTTACGTGCAGAATACCCAACTCAGGGCGATGCACCCACCGTGGGGCACCAGAGGGGCAGCGTTCACATGGAGGGAAAGGTGGACTGACAGGAGTGCATAGTTAAGAAAGGCACAGGGAGGGGCGGTCAGAGGGAAGGGAGGGAGGGGAGGAGAGTTGGGTTTGGTAATTGGGGTGTGAAATCAAATGTACATGAACTGTTGAATGTAAAATAAATTCTGCTCTGTAAATTTGCACCCAAAGCACAATTAAAAAAAAATTATATAGTCTTCATAGATAAAAAAAAAAATAGAAATGTTGCTACTCTTGATTAGTTCTTTATTTTATGTTGTCAGTCATTCTTGCTAATATTTCAGTATCTGGCTTAGTTTATATTTAGTGCTCTCTAGAGTCTGTCTGGGAGCTCTGATAGCATAGTGCCTAAGGCACTTGACTGCTAACCAGAAGGCTGGCGGTTCAAACCCACCAGCCACTTCTCGTAAGGAAGATGGGGCAATCTACTTCTGTAGTGATAACTGCCTCCGAAACTCAAGGAGGGGTTGCTATGAGTCTGTCTAGGAGCTCTGGTAGCACAGTGCCTAAGGCATCTGACTGCTGACCGGGAGGTTTGGTGGTTCAAACCCACAAGCCACTCCACAGAAGCAAGACTGGCCGGTTCTACTTCTGTAAAGATTTATTGCTTCGAAAACCCAATGGGGATTGTTGTGAGTCAGAATCGACTCAATGGCAATGTGTTTAGTTTGGTTTGATCTAGAGTCTGTACTGAATACCATAATCTTTCCTCAGACTTTTTCAATGCAAATTCAAATTTATTTTTCAGTTTTCTAAAAGTTTACGAATTAGAGAGTAACATTGGATTGCATATATAGTAGATTGTAACCAGAATATTATATTGTTAGGAAGCTTTACAGTTATTGGGCAGATAGATATATTTTAATAGAAGAATTCTTTTATTTGGTTTATTATTATAATCACATTTTATAGAATATGAAAGTTAAACAATGTGAGTGGCTGAGGTCTAGGTTAAGTGGTATTTTCAAAACTAGTATGTGTCTTATACTCATTTCAGATCTCTTGTCAATCAATGCACCATGCTGCTTTCTGACATACAGCAGTGGTTTCCATGAGACAGTTAACCCGGACAGTATTAGCACAATTTTTTAAAATATAAATAAATAATAGCTGATGAATAGCGAACTTCTCATACTTGTTTTGTTTAATTGTTTACAGGATCTTGTTTCTCTGTGCAATTTCCATAATTATGATAATTTGAGACACTTTGCAAAAAAACTTGATCCTCGAAGAGAAGGTGGTGATCAAAGGGTAAGTAAAATTCTTACTTAGAAATATTATGTAATACTTTTTTAACAGAGAGAAAATGAGATTTGACTGCTTAAATAAAGCTTAGCTTAATTGTTTAGTGTTCTCATATGTATCTTTGCTGATCACAAATGAGGATAACCAAATTTTTTACCTTTGGTTCTAGACTAGTATAAGTACATAGATATTAAATATTGCTGCTTTAGTATTTAAATTAGAGCTGGTTAGCCTAGCAGCATGGTCCTCTTTTCCTTGTTTTCTGTTATTTTAATCAATATTTTTACAAGTAATTCTATGTAAAAAAAAAGTTGTGTTGAATAGTGCTAAAGCTGTAAATCTAGCTAAACAAAAAGTCTTGTTTTTACTTTTAATATTTGTCAGTTATAGTTCTGAATTGAAGTTTGACTCCTTATCTCCTGTGTGTGTGTATATATGTAAATGGAGAGAGGGATTATTTTACTATATTATAGTAGTAGTTTATAGTGAGAGACCGTATGAAGCCTCATCAATACATTTTGTAGGCCACTGTAGATAAAGTAACTTTCCTGTCAAAAGTATTTAATGCAATACTCCTGATGCTCTTACTTTAAAATCATATTTGTTTATTGTAAGTAGTTTTAGCTTCATGTTGCTGTACTTATGTACTCCTTTTTTTGTTTGTTTGTTTGTTTGGAATTAATATTAAGAGTCAGGACTTAAATTTCAGGGACAAGAGTTTGTGGACTTACAGTTCATTGGACCAGGGGACTTGTATTGAGAGTTTTAATTCAGTTCCTTTGCTTCCTATATAGAAAAATATAGTAAAATTATCTAATTAATTTGAAGCTAACATGAGGCACTTGTAACTAGAAAATATTCTTAATACATGCTAAGTAAAGTTTTCTGTCAATAATTCCAATCTAAGTAACTTCTGATAACATATGAGAATTACACAAAGCCCATCAGAATAGAAACTTCCATGTAAGTCTATATGAGTAACATGGAACAAAATTCAAATGGGTGGTGGGTCAAAGTGTTAACGTATTTTAATAACATTCATTGAAAAATACAGTTTTGTAGTTTGAACCTTTCTTCACTCAAGTGCACTAATAAATTATGTATGTTGCTTGAACAACTAGCATTCCTTTGGACCATTGGACTATGAAAGTCTCCAACAAGAACTTGCTTTAAAAGAGACAGTATGGAAAAAAGTGTCACCTGAGTCAAATGAGGACATCTCCACAACTGTAGTATATAGAATGGAAAATCTGGGAGAGAAAAGCTAAAGAAAGGAGTTCTAGTTTCAGAGTATTCTTCATTTAAGCTTGCAAAGGTCTTTAGCTTTTTTTGCATACAATAAATATTTATTTGAGTTTTTTTGTGTTCTCAACCTTGAGTGCTGGAGCCATAAAGTTTTTTGTCCTTTTAATCTTTGTGTGAAGATAATAGTTTAAAAAGTGGATTTGTTGGTCTTTAAAAAACTATGTACAAATAAATAAAGCAAATTGCTTTATTTTAAAGAAAAAATACGGAAAGGAAAAATTTTCATTTTTTCTCAGCTCAATTAAAATGTTAGACTGTAGTCAGATAATCTCATTTAAAAATAGAAATAGAAATTATGATTTCTTAGATTTAAAACACATTAACTCAGAAGTTTTATTAGTTTTCTTTATCCTTTTCCAGTTTTAAAATTGACATGTCTATAATGGCAATAGAAAGTAATGCTATGCTAAATATATAACTAAAGAAGAGAAAATGATGAATCCCAAATTAAGTTACTTAAAATAGCACTAAATTTTAAAATTAGGGCAAATTTACATTTATACCATTTTTAATCATTAGTTTAAATTTTTTAACATTCATTTAAAATTTTACCAAGCAGTGTTTGGTTATTTAACCCTGTAAGTATAATTCATATTCTTGCTTTTTTTACTTTGCAACTTCTTTGTTTATGTGTTCTGTCAGAATTGCCATGTACAGGAGTATTTTACATTATTGACATTCCAGCCAAAGAATTTCAGATGTGACATTGTTACAAAGCTATACTGGTTAGTTAGAAGGAAAAGACAGTGTCTTCAAGTGAAAATTTCACCTGAACAATTTTATTTTCATATTATCCACTTAACCTTTTCTATGTTATATTTAAGAATGAATGACAAGTCTTGATTTTTAGCTTTTAATAATTTTAGTATCCTAATAATTTCTTAAATGCTAGTAATAGTTCTTTTATAATAACTTATAACATCTCTAAGTTTGCTCTAATTGAATTCTTTTAGAGTACTTAAGAAATGAATGAAATCAGTCTGAAGGTAGTAAGTGTATGACTCAAATCTGTTAGATTTGAATCTTTTTGTTTGCTTACAAGGATGCAATATTGAGAATCAAAGCTTGTTCTTAAAAGAAGAACTTTGGGTTCTACACAACACAGTTTCAAATAATAATTCACAGCATTTAAAGTCTGTCCTGGCAAAATGGTTTAAAAATTCTGTAGGAACTATTCACACTTCCTCCCTCCATGTACCTCTCTGGTTTTCCCCGTAGTTCTTTCAAAGTTTTTTTGTTTGTTTGTTTTTTAATTCATTTCTGAACTTGTAAATTTTTTATTTGTGGAGTGGGGATTAGAAGGAAAACGTGATAGTTTCTTAGGATCATGGCATGTGTAGGTAGAGCAAAGTCTGTAAAAGTAAATACAGTGTGGCCAAAAAGATTTCCCTAGTAATCTAGATACTAGTGTAAATATACATAGAGAAAATCCTGATCATATTGATATCTTGAGTTTGGGGACTATGATGTTAAAAACAGAAGTTCTCTCCCAAAGGTGCAGATAAAAAGCCTTTGGGGCTAACTTTAAGTATTAAATTTATATATTTAAATAATTAGGTGTTTTAGAGCATCTTACCAAGGTTTTCATGGTTACTTGAATGTTCTGATGTGCAGATATACATCCTAACTGGATTATTTGGTTGGGTCATCGACAGTAGAATGATGCTTCTTTGTGGCCTTGACACTGCTGTAGCTTTGGACAGTGTCACATTTGTATTAGTTCCATCATAGCCATTTGTGGTTTGGGCAAGCGAATGCCTAAATAATTTAGAAAGGAAGCTTTTCATTTTCCCCCTATGCTCTGAATTCTAGCTATTTGTTATTTTATTTAAAGGTTAGTTTTACTTTATAAAATGAAAATGTGCTTAAATGACTATTATTAAGACAATAAAGCAAATTGTCTTCTGAATAAGTTATATATTTAATGTTTCATATTGTGTGCATATTTGCTTAGATTTCAAAGTTAGGTTGTTAATTTATAGTACTGCTAAATGCTTAAACACATGCTTATAAATACTGTGTTCATAGAATGTTAGAATGTAGAAATTAAAAAAAAAAGGACTTTTATTAGTTTTCATTGGAGGAAGGTATAAATGGAAGGAGGAAGGCATTGTGAATAGGTTCCAAATATTAAAAGAAAAGAAAGAAAAATTTTGCCAGATTTAAGGACTTTAACTCGAGTCCTTCAGTATTTTTAATACCTTTTCAAATAAACTTCCTGAAAAGTACTCAGTATTGTCCGATTTAATAATCTCTTTTATGCCATTACTGATTCTTGATATTCAAGCATTTAGAAGTTAGCATGTGTTTTTCTTTCTTTTTTTTTTTTTTTTGCATCATTAACATTTCATTTGAAATGCAAATTATTCCTGAAATACTTTGTTTTCAGCATAAATGTTGTACATTTTATCTTAGTGTTTGGATTAAAACATTTGTGTTACTCAGCTTTCTTTCATTTGCTTTGTATATTTAATAATGTACTTGTTTTCTAGTCTGCCTATTTTTTGTATTGTACAATAAATTTATTTTAAGCTGATTTTATTGTTTTTTTTTTTTTTTTTTTTTGGTGAAACTCGTAACACTTTAAGTACAACAAGCAAGCAATTGGAATTTTAACTTTAGAAAAGATGATCATTTATGAAGATACTATTAAAATGTTTAATATGTTTAATGACTTCTGAGGCTATCGTGAAAAGAAACTAGACACTGAAGGACTTCTTTTGATATATATAATTTTAAAAATACAGAATAGTGTTGATGGGGCTCTTGGAGGACAGCATTTTTTATTGAACTATAGAAGCACTTAAATAAAGACTTTTCTCCAATTTTTTGTTGTTTTTCCATTTGATAAATTTTGTTTTGTTTATTTTAAAATAACCCTATTTGCAGGTTCTTTCTGAGGAAGAATGTTAATTGATGTTATTCACTATATAACCTTGTTTTATCTGTTGTTGCTAAAACGTAGAAAACAACACATTGCTAAATCAAATGAATATTGTAATATTGCTTTAGACTAGAACTGTGTGTGCCAGTAGAATTTATACTGAGTAGAATGAGTATACTAGAAATTCACCTGTACTGTCTTCTTAAGGGATTTAGTTTCAGAAGGAACTTAGTGTAAACTACTAAGGGATTTGTTTTATATTTAAAACATAGTTCAGTCTTTCTAGATCATTGATGTACTTTCATTCATCATGTATCTTGTATTTTTGTAGACTCATAGAATTGAGCTGGAAAGTAATCTCAAAGGTTTTCTGGTACAAACTCCCCATCCTCTCCGTTTTTGTTTTAAAGGCAAGAAAACTTCCCTTCTTAACAATTTAGTTTTAGACAAAGGACTCTTCTTCTCCAAGTTACTTAGTTCCATGCTTTCTCTATTCTTAATATTTACAGTTGGTTTTTTTTTTTTTTTTCCCTTTTCTATTTGATGAGGTTAGTCTGGTTTGTGTTTTTGTTTGGAGAAACTTGTGTATTTTTTTTTTTTTTTATGAGAAGCATTGGCAGTAGTTAATAATGCAAGTTATTTGGCACACTGATTGTCTGATGAGCATTTAAAACTTCTTAATTGCATCTTTCTACTAAGTAACCATATGGGAGCTCTGGTGGCATAGTGCCTAAGACTGTGCCATTTGACTGCTAACCAGAAGATTGAGGTTCAGACTCACCAGTCACTCCTTCGAAAGAAGAGTGGGCCATCTACT